ATCTTTACTAATTGCAAAAAGTCACAAGCATTATAATTGAGACATGAACGAAAGAAAAGAATACCTGCATTTGGCATTGATGTTATACTATAAAACGAAAGCGTGAGGGTGTGGGTGTGATATGAAAATAATGCCCACACCCACCCACACTCGCATCCACACGCTCTAATATCATTAACAAATTTTCCACCAAAAATATGTTACAAATATAATTACAAAAACGCCCCTAAACATTCGTTCCAAAAAATATGAGCCCATTTTCAAACTAACTAATACAAACCTGCATAAAATTTATAATATTTCCTGTAACTAAACTTGCTCTTTCAATTATACTGTGTTTATGTGAAAGACCAATATAGCTCATTGATGCACGATGTAAAATAATTTAGTGAATTAATATCAAAACCGTAAAAATCTTCATTAATTCGAATCATCCGATACTCTAATACATGACTTACACATTTGTTAGTTGCAAGCGGTCCCAGGGTGTCCAGACGTTGGCCACCACACTTCCCTCTGTTAGTTATAAGCATCTTAGAACTTAACTCATTTGTGTATTATTTACGAGCTTGTAATGTCTCTGAATATGAGTTCCTAACCTGATACTATTCAAACTTATAATCATATGAGTACTACACACATGTGTGATCCTTGCAAGAATGTGAAGTTGTGTTTGTAGTCTTAATCTTCATGAAATTTGTCACTTAATCAGTTTGAGATTTTAGCGAAAATGGCTTTTGTGCGATGTTCGATGTGGCGATTGTTGAAATATCTGTTTGTTGTTAGGCTAATAAATTAGTAACCTATTAACTCTCTTTTATAATTTACTGTAGGCCTTTTATAACAAGTGGAGCTTTCTTAAAGCATGATATTGCAGTAATATTTTGATATATTAATCATCGACTTCTTTGGGATAGGCAGTAGTCTGAATGAGTTTGTATTGATCGCTTTGGTTTTGATACTAAAAATCAAAATTAAAAGTCAGAAAAAGCCATTCCATTACAATGATGAAGTTATAACATAATCGAAACGATACAGGTTTCATTGAGCTTTTGAGTGTGAATAAGCAGTAGGAATCGATTGAGCTCATCAAACTTGAGTTAGAATCCGTGTTAGAATCACAGACAATAGTAGGGAGGCGAAACCACACATGTTTTTCTGTAATTTTAGTATCTTGTGGTTGTTCTCTACAGTCTTTGATGTTTTGAGAGATAAAGGCGATGTTTTGGAAATACTTTTTAAGAATGGATAGAACTCATACAGCTCTACCGGGAATTAATATGAACTGAGTTTGAAACGTATACCTGAATGAATTCGTTCGGAAAAATCTTAGTCCTCCGCAGAGATATCTCATATCATTTATCAATGATAAATTATATGTAAAGAGTCAGGCATACAAAGTATTTACCAGCAAACAATGTGTTCAATGAAAACAATTTCGGATAAATGATCGGAACACGATATACAGTCGTAGATTTTGAACAGTTTCTAACATTAAGTTAATATGTAACATATATTATCGATAGTTCAAGTTTTGTTTCAAATGAAAACGCGTCGTCACCATGTATCCTTGAGTAAAAATAACACCCCCATCATATATATTCGTCGATATAATCTAACAAGGTAAAGTTTATCGAAGCATAACTACATAACGAACAAGAAACAGCACATGTATATGGTTTATTTTTCTTCTTACATTATTTAATGAACTAGGCAAAAAAGTACGTTACTATATAATGATCTGATTGGTCGCTCAGTCTTTCCATTTACTTTTCTAAAAAGCATAATTCTTGGACCAAGGCTCCAACTGTGATAGAATCAATCTCGGATATTATGGGATATTTGCTTATTTTTTTAAATTATTCTATGTAGATGTCGTTCATAGCAATCGATCATAATTTTTATTTTCATTTTATTTTCTCATTGACATATATAGTTTGAGTACAAACACTACCACAGAAATGAACAAAAGGTGCGAAGATTTGGAAAACTGGTTCATAATATAAAAAGAAACCTACATAATTTTTGTTATTATTTTTATGAAGTATAGCAATGTCGTTCTTTAATGTTTATTTTTGAAGTGATACTATACATTTGATATCAATTTATATTCGAATTCAAAATAGAAATCTCATAAAAGAAATAATGTATTTTAGTTCAAAAGGTAATTTGGGTATACTATGTGTTCCATCACTGATTTGTGTCTGAATGAGATATGTCTCTTTATTGAAGAATTATTTTTGAACTAGCAATCGACAAAATATATTTCCACTGGAAATCACAATATTAAAATGAATCAATTTTGTCTACAGTAAGATATCAAACACTTTGTTTTGTATCATGTCTAGTAGACAGCTTTTATATTCGCCATCGGATTTAAATACATTATTTATGCTAAATAGGCCAAATCAAACAAAAATTCAAACTCTATACATCTCTCATTTTGAAATTGAAAAGATATGTTTGAATCAAATATCAACCAACACAACATAATGGTATGTCAATATCTTTCTTTTTAACGGATGCACTAGGTAATATGGGCCTCTCAGTATTTTTTTTAACCACAATATTCCAATTTTCATTAAATTCATTTTCATTTGAGAGTTGAGAAAGATTTTGAACGAATTCTATTTGACAATTTCATCCAAACTGTGAAGATTTAATTGCCAGTTTTCGATTATATTCACCTTGAAGATTTGTACGATGAGATATAAATGCTTAATTAAGATATGGTAGTAATCGACTTGGTTTTAAAATAATTTTTGTTGAACCAGTAAAATAAGATCGAAGATCGTTTCTTGTTATTTGTTTGTTTAAATTCGATAAATCTAAGATTTTCTTTACATCAATTTTACATTGATCATGTTTTTTTTTACTATAAATTCACTATATATTGCTATTCTGTATTTATTAATACTATTTTCAATATAAAAGAATACTTAAGTTGAATAAACGTATGGATAATCTATTATTTTTTAAATAGATTTGTTCATTTATTGATTGATGATTAGATGATGATGGTGTGTCAATCATATTTAATATTTCTTCATAATTTGAAGATTGACATTGATTAGTATTCATAAAAATATCGTTGGGAAAATCTTCTAATAAAAATAATTCATTAAAATCTGTTTCATTATCAATTTGTGGAAATGTCATTGATTTATTAGAAATATCCATTAAAAAATCTTCTCTAAATATTTCATTTATTTATTTGCATCAATCTTTCAAATCGAACTTACTCATTAATATTATCAAGAAATAATATATCTTCATCTAAATAAATAAATAAGTAAATTTTAAAAAATATTCTGAAATAAAAAAGAGAAAATACTTTGATGAATATTAATTTGAAGATACTTTTCAATATATTTTTGAATATTTTCATCATTATATAAATTCATATCAACTGAGTCATCTTTATTTGAATTTGAAGATAATTTACAATGGCATAAAGAAGAGTTTTTAGTAAATTGATTCAGATAAAATTTCATGTTGAGTAAAACTTAGTCGGAGAATTCCTGCTGATAAAATAAGAATTTCATGCGGATATTGAATAACTCTCTTATATTTTATATTAAAGTTATGAAATAATAATAAATCAATTAATATCTTATCATGTTCAATAAATATTGATGGATTATTTTCTTTCTTCAGATGAAATTATATACCAATAATGAGCACCACCTTCATGATGATAATTTAATTGATAAAGATTTTGTTTATTTGAAGATAAAGGAAATATTGTGGCAGGTCCATGCGCTTTAATTAATATTGAGGAATATTTATTACAAAAATTTTTTTCCAGATAATTTTAAAAGCGATTTAAAAGGTAATTGATGAAAATCAAATTGATCACGATAAACACGTTTAAAAAATAATTTTTGATCACTAATTATTGAAACACTTGAGATATTTTGTGTATTTGAACCATTTGGTAATAATAACCAAAACATTTCATCATTTATTAAAATATTTTCTTTATTTTCATTAATTTTATTTGTTTTTATTGAATAAATTAAATTATCATTATCAACTTGTTGAATTGTTGAACGTAATGGAACATTTATTGCTGTTTTTTTTAATAGATTTTTAAAATTTGATGTTGGAATTAATTTAATTGCACCATTTTCTTTTAATATTAATTCATTTTGATAAAGATATTTTAATAAATCTTTCATTTCATTATCTTTTATTGATATTGTTGGAATATCATATGATTGTGTGCACATTCTTTTATTGAAAATCAATAGAAAAACAAGGCTTTCTTTTTCTTACTTTGTAATTATCGATAATCAAATGTAATTATTAGAAAATGTTTTTTTTATCCGTTTATCATATGATTGGTAAATAAATTCAAATACAGGTAATACGTGATATTTTTATTCGAATCAAGCAGCTCAAAATTGTTTACGTAAACATTCTAGTAATTATTTAACAGAAAAATCAAAAGTAATGATTATATTCAAGATTATTACATTAACAAATCCAAAGATTGAAAGAAATTCAACAATAAATCAATTTAAAATTCATAAAAATATCATGTTGTTTTCTAAAAAGACATTTTCGATGTATAACGTTACTCAATTATTTATCAAAATAGTTTTTTTTAGCTATTGATCTGGTGACGTCAAAAGATAATTTCGTTTTTTTCTTAATTTTGATCGAGAATATTGGATAAATTTTTGTTTTTCTCGTATACCTTATACGAACAAAAACGAAATAATAGAAGAAAAAAAGACATGCTTCTTTTATCTTCATAATATTTATTTGTTTTTGTTACCTTGAATAAGAAAATATTCGTATCGTGTTAATTCATGTAATTTATCATAAACGTCAAGACTTAAATGTAAAAAGAAACTAAAAATATTTCATTTAAAAAAATGACTGAAGATGCATTTGTAAATAGAAATTAATGACCACAATTATTTTATGGATAAAAGTCTTTTAATAGATTTTTATTTATTTAAAAATGAAAATGTTTCAATGGATAACTGATTTATTTAAAAAACATAAAAAAAGGAATAATCAAATTAAATTCATTAAAACAAAGTTCATTTAAAGTAACAAAAATAAGAATTCAATGAAATTTTAGTTTTTGTAAGATTTTCACTTTTAATTAAAGGAAATTTTTCTGCTTTTTTTCCTGTTTTATCTAAGAAAATGTTCAATTTAAAAAAAAATGTTTTATATGTATGTCAATCATGTTCACAAATATTATTATGGAAAGCATGGCTTTATGCTATTACAATGTTTTTTCTTTTTTTTTATCAACGTTTTACATATATTGAAATAATTGGATTTTTTCTCTTATTTTTTTCATATAAACTTTTTATTTATTTAAAGGTATATTATCATTTATTAAAATTATCATTACAAATGCGTATTGCTTATCGAAGTTTACTTTTTCAGAAAGTAATTTGATTTTTTTTTATTAATAAAGAAAGATTTGATATATTTAATTAAAAGATTCTTCCTTTAACAAATAATGAAATAAATTCAGGTTGAATAAAAAAATTTATTATCAAATGATTCCACTCAAATAGAAATATCTTTATTATTTTTTCATCATTTATAGTTATTATCATAGAAATAAAATTTACAGCGCGTTTTATTTGATATTCTCACATGATATGTATTTGTAATTATGACATTTAGAATAAATCTAGTGAACGCAAAAGACATCGTATAATGAGATGAGCAAATGATATTAAACAAGACAGTCCACATAACAATTATATATTAGACCCTTCCTTACATCGTTCTATCATAATCTTTTGGCGTGATCAAAATGAAACATTAAGCTAACTTTTTTCTGTGCATCTACTAGGATCGTAGTTTTTTCTTTCTTTATGCGACATGATCCGATTCTCTATCAAATTATTAATATATTTCAAACGTCTGTAGTAACTTTTATTTATAGTTCTAATTCACAAGTATAATTAATATTGTGATACATTTTCATGCATTGGATGCCATAATCTTAAAATAATCACTTCAGGATAACTCAAAACGGTCTAGGCTTAACGAAATCAATATATTTTCATTACCAAATAAGATATATTAGAAGAAATATCAGGAACAAGTACAAGTAATATGTACACCTTCGAAATACTTGGGTCCTAGCTCTCATACTGGTAACCATAACAACTCCCACACCCTCAATCAATCGATTGAACATCAGACGACTTGAATAGTTCAAATACGACACCTACTCATTATCATATTTACTTAACAATTAATATGAGTAAAATAACGTTTTGTTATAAACTATTTTATTTCTTAGCAAGTATTGCTAGTATTCCAATAAATGATCCACCTACATTCGAACAAAGTCAAATATCAGAATCAAAACTTTCATATTATCCAAAAACAAGTTTCAATTCAAATGAACCATCACCAATGAATACAACTGAAAAATTAGAAGGAACATTATCAAATTATTATTTTTCTTGAGAAACATGCTGGTTTAGATTTTATTGAACTTGTTAATGAAGGTCGTTTACTTGCTCGTGCAAGTAAAGATCATGTTGTTAAAGTTACAAAAGAAGCTGATTTTATACTTAATCGTATGCGTGCAGATGATGTTCGAAAAGATAGTGAATTTGAACAATTATGTGCTCAAACAAGTTCAGAACGTATTCATGAAGAAGATCGATGTGATCATTTTATAACATCATCTCGTCAGCGTTTTCAAACAAATGCATTACGTTTAAAAGAAAAATATTTCTCTCAAATGATGAATGATAAAATAACTTATATAAATAGTTCATATTTATCTTGAAAATTATATTCAGAGGAAGATGATTTAAGACGACAAAGACATATAATATAAAATCCAAATGGTGTATTATATAATGAATCAATAGAGAATAATTCATTCGATGATATTAATGATGATATAGTAACAACAACAAGAACAGTTATTAAAGATAAATATTTATTAAAACAATTAAAACAAGAAAAAACACAAAATTTTATGTGAAATAATAATGATGATGAAGATTTATCACAAATTGATGAAAGAGATCTTCAATATGATTTTTCAGGACCAATACGTTATTCCACAGAATGTTCTCTTATATTTGGAATTACTTGTATATCAGAAGTTTTAGCTATTACACATCATGCATTACTTTTTCATGCAAATGAAGATGATGAAAATTTTAAAAGTTTTGATTAAAAAGTAATTATATTATATTGACTGTTTTTATTTTTACTTCTCTATGATTTAGATATTTTCTTCTATTGATAATCTTCATGGAAAATAGCATTTTACTGAAATACGAGCAATATTTTCAATTTTTCAACACAGATAGAGAAATATTAGAGTATGTTTGTTGTTTAGTGTTCATTCTGCATCCGGATTCACATTCTCCTAAAATAAATAAACAGTTTACATCGGATTAAAGGAAATTAAATAATCTCACTGATTTATCGATACTGTTGATTTGATTAAGAAGTTCAGCTTTTTCATCAAACTAATAATAAAAGAAAATTTTCAAAATCTTACTTCAGCACTTAAATCATCTAATTCTTTCTAAAATGCTAGATTTTGTTGTTCAAGTTCTATTTGACGAGCTTTTTTTTTAAGTGATTGACTTTTGTGAACTAATTCATCATGTTGAATAGATAATTCTTGTTTGTATAAAAAAGAAAATATATTTTTTTACGTAAATAAATAATATTTATATATAGAAGATTTGCTCGTGTTAATTCGTTTTCATAAATCTCTAATTTAACTTCTTGTGTTTTTGATTCATTTCTTTGAGCTGTTATTTTACCATTTAAACGACCTAAATTTCATATATTATTTCAATTATAAGTTAATAAAAATCTATTTTTTTACCAAATATTTCTCGATTTTTGGTTGTAAATCCATATTTGCTGAAACTAAAATTTTATTTTGATGACGGAATTGCATAACATCAAGTATAATATGTCGCATAGCTTGTCTGTAAATAGCAACTTCATATTGAAAATAAGTAAACTATCCATCAAGATCATCATCAGTACTAGATGGATAATTTATTGCTAACATAGAACGATATTCTGTTGGAATATCATCTAAATTAAATGGATTAATATGTGGAATATGATAATGAACACTCTTTAATAGACAATATATATCTTCGAGTTAAAACTTACAGAAAACATCTATTTATTGTATTTGGAATGATATCATCCTATGTGTATTCTACTTATAGAGATCTAGTTTGATCAATTCTATTGCTGCAGTTCTATGGATGACCGTTATTGTCGTATTACTTTTCTTTTCATCATATCAAATACCCAATGTAGAACCAATGAACCATGCCATTATTATGATTGGTTTCGTATTTATTTTTTATTTATTATATTATTACTTTCCAAAATATGGTGGCACGACATTCTTTCATAGGCTTGTTAGAACTATTGACTCTAATGAAACAATTCTTACAAAACATTAACGTCGTTACCCACCAACGCTTTTTCCCGTTAATATTTCTATTATTCGAGATTTTTACCTTCGAGGTCAATACAGGGAATCTTTAATGACGAATATATAAAATGTCAATAATCAATAGAGTTAACTTTTATTTCGTATTTCATATATATGAATACATAATTCTCATCAATGCAGGATCATTAATGTTACAAATATGTAATTTATCATAAGGACAACACTCAAAATCATTTCATGTATCATCATTGTCAACACATTAAATATTGCTTCGATACTTATCATTTTCTTCATCTTAAATTTCATAAAAAAAAAAGATTAAATCAGAAATATAAAGCTTTATTTAAGATTCTAAAAAGAAAAATACATAAACGCAAATTTGAAAAAAACAATTCTATAATGTGTAAAAAAAAGTGAAAATAAAAAAAAGATAAGTGAAAGTTTTATTATAATTGTTAATATAAAACGTATTATCAGTTTGAATATGAATAAACTGAAAACTATACCATCAGCCTTTGCACTTGTTGACGAAAATAGATAAATTATCAGTTTCAGCGTTTGTCGTAGCCAAATCCAGTTTATTATCCTTATTGAAATCACCGACCACTACTGAAGTCGGGTAATCATCTGTTTTATACTTGGTCCGATTTTGAAAATATCCAGTCCCATAACCGAGCAATATACTGATACTATCGCTACCGCTATTGACCACTACTAAATCTATATTTCCATCTTTATTAATATCATTTGCTGATACACGATATGGAGTTCTTCCAACTGTAAAATTTCTTGTAATACCAAAACTTCCATTGCCCTTATTGAGAAGCACACTGATAGTAGTAGAATCAAAGTTCGTAACTACTAAATCAATATTTTGGTCTTTATTAAAGTCAGCAGCTGCTATAGAAGACGGTTGTTTACCAACATTATAATCATTTGAATATATGAAATTTCCACTTCCATTATTAAAAAATGTACTAATTGTATTGCTACCGTTATTTGTCACTATTAAATCTTGTTTTCCATCCTTATTTAGATCAGCGGCTATGATACATGTCGGAGATCCTTCAAGTTGATATGTATTTTGAATTTCAAAAGTTCCGTTTATCTTTCCAAAAAGTACACTAATGGTAGAATCCCCAGAATTTGCAACTGCTATATCAAAAATATTATCAGAATTGAAATCTGCTGAAAATGCATACGAGGGTGATTTGCCAACTGTGTAGATGATTGGAGTATCAAAAGATCCATTTCCATGCCCAAAGAGTACATTGATTGTGCTGTCATTTTGATTAACTACTAATAAATCTTTTTTAGTATCATTATTAAAATCAGCTGATAAGACATGAACGGGATTGGCACCAACTGTATAGTTTAGTGGAACTTCAAAATGAGCATTTCCATCACCAAGTAACACAATAATATTGTTACTATCTCGAGCACTCAATGCAACATCTTGATTATTATCACTATTGAAATCATATGATATTAGCCAGTTCGAAGATTCACCAATGACATAATCAGTTCTATTGGTAAAAGAACCATTTCCAATGCCAAATGCCACACTAGCTGTTTGGTCATCGTTTACTGTTGCCAAATCTATTTTGTTATCATTGTTGAAATCAGCTGCAATAATGTGTAGTGCAAAATTATTAAGTGGGTACTCGATGCTAGACTGAAAAGTTCCGTCATTGTTCCCAAGAAGTACAGTGATACTGTACTCACCAGCATTCGCTACTGCTAAATCTGTTTTATTGTCACTGTTGAAATCACCTGCTGTCAAAGACGTTAAGTAATAGCCATTGAAATCAACAGTGGACTTAGTAAAATTTCCAACTCCATTGTTAAGCAGTATAGTAAGAGTGCCAGCATAACTATTGGCCGCTGCCAAATCCATTTTTTTGTCATTATTTAAATCAACTAATACCATAGAAGTTGGATAGAAACCAGTAACATAATAAACTGTAGTAAAAGTTCCATTTTCGGTGCCAAATAGCACATCAATGTAAGAATCCAAACTATATGATACTGCCAAATCCATTTTGCCATCGCCATTGAAATCATTAGCTACTATTACGGATGGGGACGCATAAACTGGAACGGAGGTAATATGTAGAAATAGTCCATTGCCATTATTAAAAAGTAAACTAACAGAAGAGTCATCTTGATTTGTTACTGCTAAATCCAGTTGATTATCATTATTAAAGTCCGCAGATGTTACACAGTTTGGACCTTGATCAACATTATAAGGAACTGCAGTTAGAAATAGACCATTACCCAACCCTAGTAGAACGCTGACTGTATCGTCATCTGTATTAGTCACTACCAAATCTATTTTCTTATCGTTATTCAAATCAACTGATATCATACTAGATGGTTTAGCACCAGTAGAAGGTCGTGTATTTCGAAAAATGTTCTCCTTATCACCACCTAGTAGTAAAGTCACACTATTTTCTTTTGAGTTAGCGATTGCCATATCAAGATATGTATCATTGTCAAAGTAATCCAATACCGAAGAAGATGGATAGGATCCAGTATCAAGAGACTCAGGTGATTGAAATGGAGTCTCGCATACATATTCTAAAAAACAATAATAATGAAACATCGATTAAACAGTAAATATGATAGAATTATAATCTCTGATACAAAGACATCTGACTTTTCTATTACCTTAAAAAAGGATATTATCTTCTATAATCACATACATCATTCATTCAAATATTTATTTGTTCATAATTTTCTCTTAGTTGATAAAAAATAATAAGTCTATTAATATCAACACATTGTAACGAAAGACTGTTAATGAGTTAAGTTAAAACTGTATAAAATCATAATTTACTTATATGATTATTAAGAACTATTACTCATTTCTATTCATCATCATTAATCTTGTTATTCAGAAATATAATAAAACCACGCTAAAGATATTACACATTGAATAAGTCACTCAATTTGGTAGATAATAACAAAAATATTTATTATCAAAATATAGAATAAATTAATTCGAATATTCATAATCTAACTGGATAGAAAATAAGAAACTATATGAGAATCTACTTTTCTATTATAATCTACCTATTACTTATGAATATCTATACGATAGAATGTTAAATTCTCTTATAATAAATCTTCCTTCTTTTTAAAATAGAAAAATAATAATAAAATTTCATACTTATTGGTTTTGTTCCTAAAATTACACCAATAATAACACCAGCAATACAAAGAGTAAGCAATAAACACGTTGGAATCATAAATCGTTTCTTTCGATAAAATGGACGTCTTGTAAATAAAAGAAATAATTTCATCAAATAAAATAATTAGATTAGACTTACTTAATTTTTGGATAAATATGTGCACCTAAATATTAAAAAAAATATTATTAATATATATATCTATATATATAATAAATGAATAAAATACCTTCAAATGGTCGTTCAAGTGTGATTATTTCTGGTTCGACTTGTTTTAAATGAATAATATATAAATTAGCTGCTGGACTAAGTTGTGATTGAACAACCATATGAGTACCTGACATAAGAACAATTTCATCTTCAGTAATGAAATGCGAATGAGCTTTTATTGTTCGACCATTCATAGCTTCTACAGAAAAAAGTGTTCGATCACCTTCTTGACCCAAATACATATTATTTTCAAGTACAGTCATTTCAGTTGTACATGATGAAAATGCCCACCAAGTCAAAGCAGTACCAGGTGGAAATTCAGCACTTAAATTTTTAGTTACTCCTCGCCATACAGTTAATGGTGGAACACATGGTAATTTAACAAGAGCAGTTAAGAATAATTTGAGATACCTGAAGTAAGGTAGAAGTGCTTCACGATCATTATTTTTAAGATTAAAATTGAGTAATGAATAGAGACTTCGATGAGGTCTATCCCATTCAATTGTATAAAGACGAATTGCAGCACTTTCATCAATTGATAATCCATCAGGTGGTTGTTCAGGAGTTTCTGTTAATGCTAATTCAACATAGAATGATAAATTATGAAAGATATCAGCCAATGGAGCACATGCTTGTGCAAGTGGTAATAAAGGTTCTTCAGAATATCCTGCAATAGGACTTAGTTCTGCTCCATCACTTTTACTGATATCTTTAGTAATATTTTCTGTAATTTGTTTTTCTTGTTGATTAGATTCATTTCCGTCAATATCAGAATCTTCTACTAATCTCACTATTTGTCTTTCATTACGTGTTACTTCTTGAGTAAGATTTTCATCTGTTGAACTATTCTTGATATTGCGTCTTTGATTTCCTGAATATTTACGTCTGTTCTCTACGTTATCATCCAAGACAATATCTGTAGATGCTGTTTGTATGCCAATATTTTTAGTCCGTATGTACTCTTCAAAATTTTCCGGTTCATCATCAAGTCTTTTTGCAGTTAATTTTGTTTGTATACGAACATTTCTGCTGGATTTAGGTTGACGATAATTTATTTGTTGATTATTGAGTGGAACTTCTGTTTCTATTGTATATACAGGAAGATCGTTGGTTTGCATTGTTTGCAACTGTGGATAATCGTTCATATCTCGAAATGTATATCTTAACATTATACAACTGAACTTTGAGATTCACTATAACAGACTAATACAAAAAATATCATTATTTTTTCTAACTTTGTAATAAAATGTAATAAAATATTATTTAGAATATCAGTCGGATGTGACAGCTACTTAAATCGATTCTTATATGATAATCGTTATTTTTTTGTAATATTTACCTTTAGAGAATATTCGAAGACAATCGAAATGGTAAATGAATTGATATCTGAAGGACGTATTTATACAAAAAGCATACAAAAGTATATTATGAGAAAAACAAGGGAGTTGTTTTATTTTTTTCTTATAATACAATGATGATCAGACATGAATACTGTGTGTGTTATGTTGGAAAAAATCAAAAACAAATACATTGTGTTTATATTGACAGTTATAAACATCGTCTACCAGTAATTATAATACAAAGGTAGATAAAGAAAAATATATGTGAGAAGCAATTATTTCCAACGTAGCATATACACGTCCGCGACTGTACAAGCTTGTATTCACAGGTTTCTTTTGTGTAGTTTTAGTTTCTTGATTATATACGTATAATAAAGTGTATCTTATTCCTTTCGTTCGTACGATAATGATAAGACGTATGTTTCGTGTTACACGTCAATTACACATACGAGCTGTATATGTATATGTATTAAGCTACCTGATGATTTATTTACTATATCAAAACATAAGAAATTATATAATCTCTACACAATGCAGAAAGACCTTGCCTGTGAAAGATTTGAAATACAACAATTTCATGGAGATGAATATTAGGATGAAGACATGAAATTTCAACAAATAAATTATAATTGACAAAGACGAACAGTAAATAATTCAAATATTAATAATAATAGAAATCCACAAGAAGTAATAATAAATAACAAACAACATTCGTCGCTGCAACTCGCTTCACGTTCGAATGAATGCTCAAAGTTGTCTTTAATAATATAGTCCAGTTATATTTATAGTAATTCTTGATATAAACTGACGAAATGATGCATTAACTTATACAGAAATAGGGGTGCAACGGTTACGGTTTTTCATCGCTTGACCGTCTACAGTTAACCGTTCTAAAGCAATAACCGATCCAATAGAAAGATCGATTAAACGAAAACCGGCTGAATAGAAAAACCAATTAAACGAAAACCGGGATAAGAGAAAAAACGGTTAGACGAAAACCGGGATAATAGAAAGACCGATTAAACGAAAACCGGATTAATAGAAAGACCGGCTAAACGAAAACCGGTCTAAGAGAAAAACCGATCAAAACGAAAACCGGTACAGGTCGACAACCGTTTTTATTTTTTGATAATTTTGTTAATTCATATAATTATAAAGCGATGTTCACATGTTGGTCAGTAATTAGAGAAGCTAGTAATATCATTTGCTTTATCGTTAATAAGAATAAGGAATATCACCATATAGGCATCAATATTCATGTTCTTATATCGTATTACTGTTATGCATCTATGAGTAATCGATTCTATGACGGTTACCGATTCAAACCGGTTATCGTTTTTATTACAACGGTTTTCGTTTAATCGGTCTTTCTATTAACCCGGTTTTCGTTTAACCGTCTTTCGTCTTAGGCCGATAACTGCCACCGTTGCACCCCTATACAGAAATATGCTTCCAAAAACAGCTTCAGAGAACTGTCTTTTGACCATTGTCGTAGATAAAAAGAATATGTTTAATTACGCTATATTGAAAATCATAAAGAAAGATTAATCTTTTAATGAAAAATTATTCTCTCGATTGTAGAATGAATCACATGAAAAAAATCGTCTTTGTGTGTATGTCTGAGTTAAGATGAAAAAAACAATACGTGAGAAAAACAAAAGATCAAAAAATCATTATTATCTTGAAATTCAAGTTTGATCAGAGGTTTTTGGGGAATGAGGAATCAGACGGTACGAGTCATTTTTTGAATAAAAAAAACTCTTTTTTAAGAAAATAATAATTTTTTTATAACGTTTAACTAAAGATAATCAGGGTCGAGAAATCGATGGGTTATGTCAGTTTTTTTTAAATTAACTTTTTACATATGATCGTAGAACTTAAAATCATTAATACAATCGCACATTATACTGTACATTAACGTATGTTTTTTATTTCGCAATGTCTTCTATATGTATATTTTATTGTGAGAATATATTTATGTTGAGCTTCAAGCTAGGGATATTTCAAATCTTCGTTCTACACACTATCGATTAAACGTGTCTAGTATACATCGTTCTTCTTCTCCTTATAACACCGTCGAAAAACAACGCTGATGAATCATCGACAAACATGGACCTTTAAGCTGAAAATAGTCTGTTTCCAGACATAAATGAAACGAACGAAAATCGATCGATCACGCCAAATACTCTTCACAAAGCTCTAATCGAAAACACGCAACAGACACTGGTAAATTTAAACAATCAAAATAATAATGAAAATGCCAACAGGTGCAAAAATAACAACGTGTAGAGCAAGCGAACGGAAAAGAAAAAAACGTCTTTCTCTCCGTTTACAATAAAATTTCAACAAAGGCCTTCGAAATCTGAACTTCAGCTTGAAAAAGAACTTTTTATTTTTTGGAAAAAATCTTCATCGTTAACTGATCTAACCCGTCTACATGTTCTAACTCGTTTCGGCTTTCAAGATCGTTTACAATTACATGCACAAGACGTACAATCGTACGACATACTCGTTACTGTCGATTGATCCACGCATCCCGATAATCAATCGATCACAGTTATTTCACCTATTCGTGTTCCTCCACATCATTCAATCATCGTCCGGGATTAGGGTGCAGCGGTTCTATAAAAATGGAACCGAAAACCGAACCGGAACCGCTCTTTTCTCATTTCTGCTAACCGGAACGGGACCGGAACCGCGGTTTCGGTCCTTTTTTGGAACCGCTGTACTCTAATCTTGAACATATTTTTTTTGTAATGTTTGTTGCTTGTTTTACTCTTGTACGTTTTAAACAATATGCATTTTCAATAAACATTATGTGTCTTTCATGACAATCATTAAATAATTCAAATCAAAAAAAAAATTCGTATATCTGATACTTTAACGGAACTGAACCGGAACCGGTCTTTTCTCATTTCTGCTGACCGGAACCGAACCGGAACCGCCATACTCTATTAGGAATACTGCAAAATCACTTTTTTTAGTCCTGGTCTCCGTCCCGGCCCCGGTTAATTTTTTCAGTTGGTTCCGGTCCCGGTGGTCACGGTTTTGATAAAATCTTTAGAATAATTCTGGTATTGTCTTCATCTATGCAAAAAAAACATGAAGTTCAAGAAAATTCTCGCTTTTTCGAATGTAAATTCAATCTATACGGTTTTTCTTGAACTATAAAATAACACATTTGTCAATTCTTAATTAAAGAGAAAAAAAGAAATAAGAAAATGTCTGATCTCATGCTTGATAAAAAACATTGAGGAATTAGGTGGCAATTTTAGTCTTAGTCCCGGGACCGGGACCACTTTGCAGTTCCCTAAAACGATATCAGGTGTGTGAACTGTAATGATCATCACTATCTAGATCAATCAAGTTGTCCTATTGTCCGACGTTTATGTGCAGAAAAGCAAAAACAGCAGCATCAACAGAATATCACTTATTCTTATGCAAAAGCAGCTAATCGTCGGCAGCCATCGACAGCTACGACTCAATCTACTACATCAGTTATTACACCTGAACTTCAAACACAATTGACTTCTATCAGCAAGAAGTTAGACGAAGTGAAACAAAGGTTTCTCGACCTGAATATAAAACTGTCTGATAAAGTTAGTCAATTGGAAGATCGGTCCATCAACGCTGAAAAACGACTCGATGTTTTCTCTTCAAAAATCAACTATAATTACTCTGAAAACAGACTCAAATACAACTCAACCAAGAAACTAATCATAACCGTTTTGTTACTAGCCTTGATAGACATTAGCAAAGCTATCGCAGTGACAGATCGTAATCAAGCATCAAGAAAAGAAGTCGAAACCATATGCAAGAATTAAACGAAGAAAAAGAAGAAGAAATTGCCTAGCTGCAACAAAAATATCCACTTCTACATTTAAATAATAAATAGACATTTTATCAGACTGATTAAACACATGTATCCCGTGAGTATTCGAGTCTTCGTTCCACTCGTAGTCGGAAGATGACTGTAAGTCGTTCTTTCAACTCACTACTATCTTTTTTTTTAAAAAATCATGTGTTGTTTTTGTTAAAACAAACGAATTGTGATAGTATGTTTATGATGTTTCTTTCCTCTCTTTAATTGTCAACCTAGTTATAAAGGGACAATAAAACTGAATGTTAAAAAGAAAATCTACCGATATTTACGAACGGAGAACATATGATGTTCAGTATTTTTTGAACGGTTTGAACTAATTATTAAAAAAAAACTATGACATCGTTTTTAAAATAAAATAAAATGTATGCGAGAAAATACTCGACAATGGAATCAATTCGCTATTTAATATATATCCACTCGTTGTTCTTTCGTTGAAAAAGCATCTATTCATAAATGAAACTGTTTATATCATTTATTTTAGTGGATATATCTGAAATTGTATGATTAGGTTGCGTATACGAATTTCATTGGCTTGCTCTTGATATTTCCATATTACATATGAACCATATTTTTCTGATTTTTCGTTCGCGAGATCATCGCAATATAAGATGAGAACTTTTTATGTGCACAGGACTACATAAATGCTTTGCTTCGTACCAGTGAGCGATGGTATATGTCAAATAAAAAAAATATTGTTAAGGTTTTGATCTTGTAAACTATAGTAAGTGATATATAAATTGTATCGATAAATTGTATAAAACTATAAAACAAGTTGTTTCTTTAAATTTTTTATTGAACGATATGTCGTGGTTTTATTTTTGAAGTAAATCAACTTTCCAAGGTAAACTTTTTTAGATTAAATTAGAAAATTAAATATAAGAAGAGAACATTTAAATCTCACAAAAGAATTTTCATTAAATAAAATATCAAGCTTTCTTCTGTAACTATCATGTCCAGGGGTGGACCATCACGAGGCAAGTGGTGGCAATTGCCACATACAAAAAAATTAAACATAATATTTATTTTTTTATATAGTCATATCAAACTCTGAAAAAGTAGTAAAAGTATATCTAAGAAGTCTGGCATTGTTTAAATCATCTATTCCAGTGACATCCAGTAGCTAATAATAAAAACTAATATAAGAAATACTATTGAACAAGATAGATTGTCAGGCATTGCCCTTTTGAGTATGGAAAAAGATTTTAGAATTAATATTAACAAAATGGTAACAGATTTTGCTGCAAAAAAAGATGGATGAAAAAGAATTTTTTGAAATAAATATTTTTTAACTAATATGTTTTTCATTTACTTCATTGCCAAAAGAAGAAAAAAATCAAACAAATAAATTATATTAGAAAAAAGACAGCTTCGTTCGTCGCATGAATGTAGATAGTAGTTACATAGTATTTTCAGAACTTTAAAAACACTTTCTTTTATATCATACTAAGGTATTATTGCCACACCTATCGTTAAGCCGCTGGCCCGCCTATGCACGTCATTGATTTAATAAATGTCATTTGGTATGAACTATATATGTATTGTGTGATAAAAAGACATTTTTTTAATGCTTTTAATTACTTAAATTTTAGAAAACATATTTACTATGATATTTATTAATATTCTTTGTCAACACATAAATTGATTCTGATGAACAAGTATACTCATTTTTTTGTTCCTTTTATTAATATTTATTTTATTCTTTTTTTCTCTCGTTCTATCAGAATCTCATGGAATGCTTTCATGTCAGAAGTTTAAATATATGCTTAGCAGTTGAGCATAACCAGAGATTATATGTAATGCATGACATATAGAAACAAAAGTGCTTTAAGCCGGAAAAAAGGTAAGGGAAAAAATACATTTTACAAGTGTCAATATGTCTTCGACAACAACTGCAAAGCCTGATTTTGTACCAATACCATCATATATTGCATTAGCATTTATCGGTGCTGTAGTACTTGTCGGTTTCGTTGCACGATGTCTTGCAGTAAATCATTCGACTATTGGAGCACATAATCAAGATTTAATGATATATCAACCAGCACCAAAACCAGTGCAAGCACCAAGAGTTAGACGTTCATCAATAGAACAAATATCGGAGCCTAATAGTGGTGTTCTAAATCCAAGATCATCATCAGACGATCCTGTAACACCAGTTCGAGTTCAACGCGGACCAAGAAACCTTTAAATTAACTTCTGAATACAAATTGTTTTATAATCAAAAACATTTTTAAATATTTATTGTCTTCTTATATATTTGTATTCACTATCATCATATATATGCAAACTTTTCCTAGATTAAGATAAATCATTTTGTTCAATCTAAACTAATGAATTCAACAATAATTATTTGAATTTATAATAATCGAATAAACTAAAACGATACAAGATTAATAATTCTTAAAATAACTTTTTAAATATCTATTATTATAAAAATATATTAACATATGTTGTCTACTCTAAGAAAATCATTCTAAACTATATCCGAGTTATTTTTTTCACAAAAATATAATATGCATTTTACTTTTATGCAAATATTACTTTATCTATAAAATATTATAGCGACTCATTTCGGTCGAGATAACCTATGTTAGATTCTAGGACTAATATAAATTTATTGTTCTGATTTTTTACCAATGATATGACAATAGTATAGATAGAAAAAATAATATTACGCAAAACCTTCCATGATATTTTTTCTATAAGAAAAGAAAGAAAGATGTTACTGTCAAATATGGTGTCTTCTTTTTTTGTTTTTATGATTTTGATAGGTATCATAGAGTCAAAAGCTGACCTTGTTAGACATTTAATTTTTAAAATTATATAATCATACTTTAAAAATTAATAATGTTCAACATGAATAGAATTAATTTATTAATTAGACATTACAAGTATCATTATTTAAATGTGTATATTAAATAATTATCTTTTCTAATATAAATGATTCTTAAAAGTATCTCGATCAATCTATTGATAACAACTAAATACAGATATATCGTCGAGAAAAATATTAAATAGGTATTTAAATCAAATCTTCTTATTTAAAATTCAATAGATCGATTTTCTTCTGTTGTTACATATATAGAATTATTAGTATAAATATAGTATAATCCTTTTTCTAATTCATCTACTATTACTTTCTTGTAAAATAAATAAATATTTCATTTAGTATATATCTATTAAGTTGGAATACCAAAAACTGATGCTTGTCTTCATTGGTAACTCTCTTAGAATTATTGCTTGTTTCATAAAAGAAATTTCTTTCAAGTTTATGAATAGTAAGTATGCTCGACATTTTCATCAACATTTTTTTGAAAAGTTATTGTTAGTCGATGTTAGTATTTCTCTATAGTAATGATAAAGATATATTCAGTCTACTTACATCAAGGCTTATGACTTTAGATAAAAGTTTGACTAAAAGCTCATTGTAAAAATATCCTCTCAAATGTCATTTAGAGTCAATCTATATTTAGTCTTAACATAAAAACAAACTGACAGATTTATGAAACCATTAAAAAAAAGTCATTATGTACTCTTTTTTTAGAATCAATTAGCTTTACTACCTACATAACCATATCAGAATTATAAGCTTTTAATTCTTATGTAAGTATATATATATATATATTGAAATCTCTTCTACAGAAATACAAAAAAACCGGCATTCCAATATCTTTTTACGTCTAGAAATTGATGAGATATTTAAAGTTATAAAAAAATAGTATGTTTGTACTATAAAGTATGACAATAGGAAGTAATAATTATATAATCAACGATCTATATGAAAAATTTGTTGAGAGAGTCATATATATTCAGATATACTAAAAATCTTCACTATAGAGTTTCTCAAGTATTGTTTCATATTTATGTTATTTACTATTGGCAATTCTTTATAGATAAATCTCTCGTCGTTTTCGATTAACCAACATTTTGTTTCTTAGATAAATATGTGCATTTATTTGAAACCTATTTTATAAGATGAATAGAGTATCTGCGGGAAGTCGTTGGATAATAATTTTCTTTATATTTATTCTGTTTTGTCATCTTTTCTTCCAGAAACAAATAGTTTTTCAGTAGATTTGACACTTTTTTTCTTCTTCTTAGCGTTGCATGCCAATTACAATAAGTTTTATTTAGATGTGCGATAGTTTTTTCTAATCAAGACACGAAAAGGATTCGCTTAGGTCATATTTTGTAATTGAACTATTCGTACGATTCAATTTCCAAAACAAAAATTTGTTTCATATCTATTTCTCTTTCAATTAATCATAGTTAGGTATTGTTATTTAATTCTTTTTTTAGTAATATGAGTGTAATATTTATTATTTAATGATTGCATGTCTAAATAAACGGTTATATCAATAGATAAAATAACTGATATATTTTTGAAGTAATATTTTTTATTTTATTTTAGAATATATCATGAATTTTGTTTTTTCTACAACAAATTATATTTCATTACTTTACAGAAAAAGTATTTTATAAAGCCAGGAAATCCGCTCAGATTCAGTTTCAATATTAGTTTGTCGTGAGTTTTATGTTCTTTTTTTTGTCTCTCACATGAACCGGAAGAAAGAAAAAGGTTGATAACTAATTAATATGTTCGAGATGGTTCTTTCATACACCTATAGAAAGCATAAACATGTTTTTACAAAACCCAAAAAAATTTTATATCTACTAATATGGATATATATTGAAAAAATTAAATTTTTGTAAATTAATATAATGACATGAGTTTCTTTTTCTTATAGATAGTGCAATATTTTATTAATATTGTCAGTATTTTACGTTTTATCTTCAAATTAACATATGCTATTGTTATTATTTTGTCATTTTATAGTGCACACATATGTAGGTTTAATATTCAATGAGATCTAACTTGATAGATACGCGTGATTATTTATTCTATTTTCTCATGTCAATGATAATGACTACGAGTCAGTGTTTAGAACATTCACTGTTGTAAATCATCAATACAACAGAGAAACAGGTATGGCTTTTCACTTAAAGAAAATCCTTTATAGAAAAGATATCATATTCGGATTAAAGAGTTAACACATACTTCTATTTTCTCTAAGATATATATATTAATCAGAAAGCAAATAGCGAGTATAATCATAGGTTTTAATTTCGGTTCCATTTACTCTCAAATTTAGTTTATAGGCTTTAATTAATTTACGGAATATTTAAGATAAGTGCGAAGTATAAATGATTATCATCTTAATATTTTTTTTTCGCACCAACTTTTTTGTGAGTAAGAACGATGTCAAGGTTAAAATCTAGAATTTTATATATCGGCCTACAATTTCATAGAAAGTCTTTTATTGAAGATTATCAAAAACATATAGTATGAATAAGTAAAATAAATTAATCTAGTGACAATCAGAATGTTCTTCACCTGTCATAAGCATGCATTATCTGACATCTTTTGGATTATATGATGCTGCTAGTTAATATTTTTTGCAAAATTACGCCTTCTGAGAATTTATATTAGACAGCTAGTTTAACTTTTTTAATATATTATAAAAGGAAGAAATATAGATTAAATCCAGTTTTCTGGTGAATTAAATTTTTAAGAAAAAAAATGATAGTTAATGTAGTTGAAATAATGTAATAGTATTAAAGGAAAAACATAGTTTGTTATTGCTTTGTTTTTAATAGAAGTCAGATTTTCTATTTTTTTCTGTTATCTTATAAATTACGTGTGTGTGTGTGTGACCGTCATCACATATGCTGTATTAATATTTATTTTGAATGGTAGTGACTCTTCAATTAAAAAAAAATTATTATTGATATATAAGAATGGGAAGATAAATAAGAACGAGACAAAAGTATAGAATTTGACTGGTAGCGTATTAACTCCATATAAATTAAGTTTGTGATTATCGCATTGTTTTATCATTAGAATAAAACTAGTGGAAATAAAGTAAGTAAATGTTTTTTAATTCGTTTTATTCATTATCAAGAATTGACTTCATAGAATTTAACATACTCCCACGGATTACTTTAGAGTCCTGGATCTTCTATATTATTTTTAATTTAAAAAAAGCCTGCAATATACGCAATATTAAATCGCATAAGTAAAAAATTCTCTTTGTATTTATTAGAAATATGCCGATAGTTATTCCTTTGAAAAGAAATTTCATAAAATAATCTTTTTCTCTCGAGAGAACAATATAAACAACGGATAAATGTTCTATAATTTATTTATTTATTCATAGAAAATGATAAACTAACGTTTTCTTTTCATGTTATTGTTCTGCAACAGCAGGTTTTCGATTATCATTTATTGTTTGTATATTTTACATTAAATATGTATTGATGTTGAGAATATTTTATGTAAAAATGAACATTGTCCGCTCATAGCAAGAAACTTTCTTTTTGATTCAATTAGACCTTGGATATTTTCCGTACATTAGTTGAACGATTATATTAATAAAACTAGTATCCTTGAATAAATCGTTTGATTCGACTTTCCATCAATTACCTTTTTACAGAGAAAATAATGAACAAATCTATTTAATCTTATTCTTATAAAACTATGAATCTATTGGTCTGTTTATCAAATAGAAAGATACAAAAAATATTTGTAGAATTTATTTTTATTATTTGCTTTTAAAATATATCAAATATAGTTTTTTTTTGCATAGACGTAAAAGAAAACAATTGTTACTTTTAAAACTAGTGAAATAGAATAGGAGCTTTTTCTTTCATATAGATTTTCCGGATGATATACTATTTCATCTTTGATCCACTTAAAAAATGAATACAAAGGAATATTGTATTGTACGTCTTTTTTTTCAACAGGAAATTTGACGTAGGCAACCTAGAAATGATATTCGATTGTATTTCCCGTGATTTCCGTCCATTCAGTACGTTTTATTTCCTAGCGTGCGTATAGAAAATCTTCTCGGATATTTTCCTGACAGAAAATAAGCAGGTATATTTTGTATACAACACACACACACACACACACTCATCATTTGCGTTGTAAATTATTTTTTTTCTCTCATCATATAAATATGTAACATCCGGATGATGTCTGCTAATGTTGATGAAAATCGCATGCTTATAGAAAATATATTTATTAATCCTTATCAACCATACTTCCGAAAAGAGAAAAACTAATGGAAGATTTTCAACGTTTCTATAATATTAATAAAAAGAACTGTTACAGTTCGATTTATAATTGAGTTCAAATGGTACTATTATTCAAGAAGTAGGTATATAAGTACTCTAAAATCATATGAGTGTCATCAGTGAAGAATTTCATTTATTAGATACCTATCATTATTTCATGTTTATTTTTTTAATGGAAAATTTCCTTCACTTCAGAAACATTTGAATACAGTCATGGAGTTGACAGGATCATTTTTTTAATGTATGAGATGTACTAATTATTTCTATCATATTATAAATAATCTGACAATTTTCTAAAACTTCATACTGTAAGTACTTTTCCTCCTTAATAAATTAATCATTATTATAAATGGTTATCATCAACATACAATCTATTTTCTTATTCTACATCCATCTGCTCTTCATCTTTTTCTTATGACTAGATTTCTTTCTATTCAGATATATGATCTTAAACATAGATAATACGTAATTATTTCATTCAATAGATTAATGACAATCATAAATAAAACGATGGTATCAAATACAACTGACGAAAATGATGTTTCAGTATGGGCTGGTCGTATTTTACTTGTATTTTACTGTTTAATATTTATATTTGGTCTCATAGGTAATTAAATTGATAGATTTAGTGTATAAATTAACTTCTTTTTTTTGTATATAAGGTAATTCCATGGTTATTTATGTTGCTATTCGAAAGAAAAATTATCGTAATGTTACGAATTGTTATGTGATTAATTTGGCTATAGCTGATCTTTTATTTTTAACACTTTCAATTCCATATACAACATATTTAGGTGTTCAAAACACAGATCCATTTGGTGATACTGTATGTAAAATTTACACATATCTTGCTTATGTAAGTCAATAAAAATAACTTAAAAAAACAATAATAAATTTTTTGTTTTCATAGGGATTTTTACAAGCTACCTGTAATATATTAGCTGTGATGAGTATTGATCGATATCTATATATTGTAAGATCAAATTCAAAGCTTGGATGGCGTACACCACGTAATGCTTTTAAAATTTGTATTGTTATTTGGGCAAGTAAGTCAAAGAAATGAATATTCTTCTTTTTTTTCTTATTCTTCTTTACATATAGGTTCTTTAATATTAATTATTCCTTATCATATTATATCACGTGTATTAATACCAAATAGTACTGCTTGTGGTATGAATGAACATGGAAGTCTTATTGTTTGTTTGTTTCCATTCTGTTCTTATTATGCTGTACCACTGCTTGTAATTATCGTATGTTATACAAATTTAGCAATGCATGTAATAAAAACGGGTCGAACAATGGCTGACCATATGAACACCGTATGTAAATTATTTACATAAAAGATTAATTATTTATTATGTTTTGTTATTCTAGACTAATTTTCATAAAATAGTGCAATTAAAACAACGACGAGTAACAAAAATGGTATGAAAAATTTATTGAATTAATTATGAATGTTTTTGTAGAAAAAGAAATTCTTTATTTTATCGATTATTATTTAATTTATACTAAAAATAATGAGAAAAATCGGATCGTACAGATTTAATAAGTATAAGATAAATCATTAAAAATATATCCTAATATAGTGAACTTTCTACAGCTAAAGACTACATTATTTTAAGATTATGAGAGATATAAGTGATATATATTTGATAAATTTTGTTTAATCTCAGATACATCATATATCACTCTTTCTTACATGAATATATTTTGTTTAGGTAATTGGAGTCACACTTGCATTTGCTATTTGTTGGTTACCAATTCATGTTCTTGAATTAATGAAATGTGCTAATTCAAAATTACTTAATACTCTTATTAGATCATATCCTGAAGTACTTTATTCAATTCGTGCAGTTACACATGCATTAGCTTATTTCAATTCATGTTTAAATCCATATTTATATGCTATATTAAATCGTAATTTTTGTATTGATCTTGTTGATATTATGCCAGCATGGGGAATATGTTGTAAACAAGCAGAAAATTTCGAAAATAAACATTTCAATGCGAGTAAAAGATATCCAGCAACAATCTTATCAAGAAATCAAGTTGTTGCAGAAAAATATAAACAATACGATGATAACGATGAAATAGATTGTTGTGAACAAAAACCCATCATGAATGATATTAATTGTCAAGTGGAATTACTTCGAATAAAATCTGATCAACATAATCAAGATATATCTTCTATTACAGACCAAACACAACTAACTTAAATAAAATTTCTTTCTTTTATTTTTATTTCTCTTATAAACATGTATGTATTTCAATACAAATAAAATGAAAAATGTTTTGTTTTTGTAAATTTTATTAGATATTAGTATCAATGGACAATATATAATATAGTTATCACAGGCATACCTATATTGTCAGTACAGCATTAAAAAAAACATTTAGATTGACAAACATAGAATGAGTCGATATCGGACATATAAAAAAAAAACATAAAAAGTATATTGTTCGATATGGAATGTAGCGGAAATGAATATAAGAAAGAAAGAAAAAAAAGAGAGATTGTAAGGTACAATGTTTAATAAGAACAATTTGTATGCTGATATCATTTATCTGCTAGAGACAAAATCATAAGTAATCAGCTTGATAAAAAATAGAAGAAAAAAATGATTTGCGTGATTAAGATAAATATTCTTTGTCATAATCAGCTCGATCAAGTTCAATCCAACGACGATGTGGCTTTTGTTTCGAATATCGAAGTGAAACAAGATGACCAACTTCATCCATTGCTTTTAAAGCCTAATTTAATAGAATATATATAGACTATTATAAACCAAATTAAAAAATAATTCTTCTTACATGATCAAGCATTTCTTTTGTATGACCAGCTGAAATACAAAAACGTACACGTGATTCAGTTAATAATGTTGCAGGAAAACCAACAGTAACAACAGCGCAACCACGTTTTAACATTTCTCGATTAACGGCTCTTAAAAAGTAAAATTATTATTTAATTATTTCAAAAAAGCTTTTCTTACGCTATTTTAGCTGGCATAAAAATCATAACAGGTACAACAGGTGAATTATCATTACCATAAACAATGAAACCCATGTCAACAAGCTGTCGACGAAAGTAACGAACATTACAAGCTAGTTGTTGAATTCTTTGTTGACCTTAAATATTTATTCAAAATGAATTTATTATTCAATTATATATCTTACCATCATTAGTACCATCTCGACCCATAATAATTGATAATGCAGATATTATTTGATAACAAACAGGTGCAGACATACTCGTTGAATAGCATGCAGAATGAGAATATATACGAATATGATCGATTAAAGCCTATATTTATTGAAAATCTAGTTTTCTGAAAGATAGAAAAATAAAAATTTTACCTTTTTTCCAGCAATATAACCTCCAGCTGATCCAAAACTCTTTGTAAATGTACCCATATGTACATCAATATCATTTGGATCGACTCTCCAATAATCAACAACACCACGACCACGTGAGCCTATGGCACCAATTGAATGAGCTTCATCCATATATAAATAAGCTTTATATTTCTTTTTAAGTTCGATTATTTCTGGTAATTTACATAATGAACCTTCCATACTATATAAAAATTCATAGAGCATTAGAATAAAAAAAACTAAAATAAAATATATATTTGTACCTGTATACACCTTCGACAATAATTAAGATTTTTTTCCATGGACGGCATGTTCGTGGTTGACCGGAAATAATAGCTTTACGTAATTGAGATTCTAAATCTTTCATATCTATGAATGGATATAATTAAGTACGTTACATCAAAAAACAATAGATTACATATCAACTATTGTGATAATATGATTATCAAAAGAATAAGTTCCAAGTTTTTATATGAATGTTTTTGTCATTACAATCAATGTTCTGCTTGAATTTGACTCATCTTATATTAGGAAAACCTTGTTATTATTAAATTTGTACTTTTATTACATTAGAAAAATGTTCTTTTTTTTCAAAACTCTTTACGTCTACGAGAACAACACTCATTTTATAGTTCACTTCACTTCTAACAGTTGCGGAAATTACAAGAAAAAAACTTTTTCTCATAAAAAAAACCCATCTTTTTTGTTTTATCGAAATATTTACCATTATGATTAAATGGGCAGATTGTAGCTCCAGATAAACGTGCACCAAGTATTAATGAAATATGATTTAGTCTATCACTAAGTATCAAATCTCCCTACAAATAAAACAATTTGTTACTTTTTTTTTTGAAATAAAATACAAAAAAACTATTTTACTTGTCCAACTAATGTAGGAATATTCAATGCATTCGTTGCAAAACCCATGCCGAATGCAATACAATCTTCAGCATTTAAATATTCTGCCATTAAAGTTTCCAGTTCTTGCATATATCGTTGATTACCTAATTCATGACGCGTACTACATGTTGAAACACCATATTTTTCTATAGATTTAATTGCTTGTTCTGAACACGGACCTTGATTTTCCGCAAAACCCAAATAATTATAAGAACCCAAATTAATCGATGGAATTTTTTTACCACTAAACCTATTTCAATCAAAAAAGAAAATAAAAATAAATCTCCATCATCAATTATCTTCTTACTTAAATGTCCAATTGAAATCATCTGAAATACGTTCCATAATATGAACTTTAGCTCCAGCAACACTAGCAATTGGTTGATTAAATACATCACGTATACGTGTATATAGATTTCGTGTATAAAAACATTCATAACTTTGATAAAGTGGTACAAAATTCTATAGAAAAGAAATTCTATCTATTGTTTTTGTTATCTTCTCTTTTTATAAATTAAACATACTTTCGGATTAGGATCATGTGCAGTTTTTTTCTCTTCAAAACCAATGTGACGAAGAAAATCTCTTAACCAACCAAGTGCACTTAGAATTGCATAACCAAGAACAGTAACAACAGCAGCCCATGTTGGTGTTTCTTCAAAGTCTTCATGATCTTGATATTTCGGCTCATTTTCGTAGGCACACTTTTCAAAAAAATAAAACGAAATAAATAAAAAGAAATCAAAATGTAAAACAAACTTACTTTTGTTTTTAAATTTGATGAGAATGATTTGTTCATTTTTTGATTAATAGCAGTTTTTGGTGACATCTAAAAAATCTGAACGCATAGTACACATTTGTTGAGGGCGTTATTAGTACACAAAAAAAAACGTACGATGGTTATCATCAAAGTAAAAAAACAACAAATTTTTATTTTTATTTTTATTTTACCATACCTTTTTGATTGCTGATTTGTTTTATCAATATTACTAATATAACGAACGACAACATGACAAGCAACTATTTGCATAATGAATATACTGTAGTATGGCATCCACATTTTTCTTTTTCAAGACCCAAAGCAGAACAAGAAGAAAAAAAAACTCGTCGAGATGCTTGAAGAACGACATCGAATACGGCAGAACTAGTAACGGAATCAATGTCGTCAAGTCTTAACATAGTAACCATCACTTTTTTTTTTTACTTTCTTCTTTTCGCATTTGATTGGCATCACTTTTCTTTTCTTATTTCGACTATACACGCTATCAATATCTGAGAGTTTAAAATTCTATTGATATATACACATACAATTGTAATTTATGTAAACTTAACCGAATCAATTAACAAAAATGGTGCCATACATGAATCACTCACCTTTGTCGTTTGCTGTCCTTGCTTTCAGCTATGTTTTTACTATTTATGAGCAGGAACGACTAGCAAAAAAAAGAAATATAAGTGTAGCGAAACGTGACCGCGTACGCACTTAGGTGGCTTATTTACGTGACGCATTGAATGTTTCATTTAGTCAATACATGCTTCATATATATATATATATACACTACCGTTTAGTAATGCATGTAAAAAAAATATAGCCTCGATAAGCAAAAGAAAAGGCGTAGAAAAATGAAGGAGGAACAAGACGAAGATGAAGAAGAAAAGAAAGAAAAAAAAAAAGAAATGAACGAACAATTATAATTTTATGATCCATCTACTTCTACTTACTCATCTGCTTCGTCATGCTTACATATTTTTTCTGTGAAATTTGACAGATTCATTCATTACATAAAAAGTCAATATAGAAAATTTTCGATTAAAATTTAAAAAATTATTTTTTAATTTATAAATAGTACTACTTAATTATCCATTTATTTTAATGATGATAAAAAAAACTAACACCATACATTTAAACGAGAATCTTCTTCTTCTTTTTTTTCTTCTTCGTTTCTCTTGACATATTTATCAATGAAGCAAAGAAATGGATAGGACACTTCAACGTGTCAAAGAATATTTTTAATCTAAACTTCATTTATTTATTATGATGAGGAAGAAGAAAAGTGTTATATTCCTACTAAGGTTCAGAAATAAAAAACTATTGGAAGATTTTTTTACCGGAGCTAACTTATTCATTTCTTACTAAATATAAACATGATGTCACCATATGCAATTTTTTTCTTTGAATTAAAAGAATTACTTTCATCCTATATGATGTCATTCATGTTTTTTCCATAGAATATTGATTATAAATATACGCAATAATCTCATCATTTAAATAAAAAAAAAATTGTTTTTTCATAGTTCATATTATTTATTAACAAGAAAAAATAGATTTAAATATAAATTGAGTTAATGCGTAGAGTATTTATCTAATTATAAATATTTTTGTATTTAGTTAAGTTGATATTTGTGAGAAAATATTAATTATGGGTGCAGTTTATTTTTGTATAAAATAATAATATCGACGGAAACGAAGAGAAATTTTAGGTAAAAACTAAGTACATAGAATGGCAAAACTAGTTTATGAAAATATTACTAATTAGTGTCATTTACTTCCTTTTTATATTGACTTTGTAGTACTATTAAATATATACTATAATATCTAGGAAACTTCCTGTAATAGAATAAAACAAGTGATGAAGCACGTTGTTGAGAACATTGTAATGCTCATATATGTATCTATATAAATGCTTTCAGTACATTCTCGATAGTTGTGCTGATTACAATATTTTAATTTTGATTATCGCGTAAGAATGCTTGTGTATACTAAAGGATGTTAATATAATCGCTTGTATTCTACGATGTTCAAGATTATTCTTACTAGGTAATAATCGAAGTATTCGAGTCGTACTGATGAAACTTTATCTATCATCAAGAGATATTTTGTCAATTTATATTGTAATTTGAAACGTAGTGAAAAAAAATGCTCATTTTTGAGTATACTTTTCAACAAAAGTGAGCAATATTTATGAAACATGATCTATTACTTACGATCGATTTGAACAAATTGATAAGTATTTAACAATAATCGATGATAGTTATAATCTCAAATTGGTAAACATGTATGTATTTAATTTTCGTTGAATGTGAAATCTTTCGAAATTTACTCTTGAGAATGTGGATGAAATAGAACAGCCATAACCTCTGTTCGCGAGAGTCTTGCACGTGTAGTTCATGCATCAAGTCAGAATTCAAACAAATAATAGTATTAATGCACTTGATGGTGGCAGTGAACGATCAGATGAAAACATTTCTTAATCCTGATACAAGAACAACTGAAGATTTTGAAAAGAATGATGATAACAATTATTAGAATCCGAAAGATAAAAGAACAGGAATAACATTTTTTTATGTGAGGTTTGTCACATGAAAGTTTTTTACGGATGAATTTTTTTTCTTGTCTATTCGCTAGCTATCGTTTCACTTTTTATTGTATGAAGTTTGATTTTTCCATGAATGTTCATAAAACATGCTTCTTTTTCTCAAAGCGCTTATTCTCCATTATAATTATCTCAATTTTAGAATTTCGAACGACAGTCGACTTTTTCCGCGATGCTGATGAATCATAAAAAATAAGTAATAATTTAATTGGTTATATAATGAAGAAGAAATCAATTATAAAAATAATTCTTCATACGAAAAAAATGTTTTTTTTACCCATAATATCTCTCTCGTACGCGTATGCAATTCGCACTATCAGTACGCAGTTACCTATGAATCATTCTGCTTATATTAGACTAAATCATGACCATGAAATGAATGAAAAAGACGTCATTGCTACGGGAAATTATTAACAAATGATAACGTCAGATTTTTTTTCTCGTAAATTTTGATTCTAAAAATAATAATTTTACTCATACTAATTAAAACATAATGACATATTTTATTTTCAATAATAATATACAGGTTAATTCCAATTAATCATTAGTTGAAATAATTATTAAATTTGTTTAAAAATCAATAATAAAATATAATTTTATTTATTATTCGCTCTTTAAAATATCGATAGCAAATGAAACGTTATTATTATTAATGGTTGACAAACAAATTCATCAATAATAAATATTCTCATAGAACACAATTTCTAACATGTCAAACAACTCGGATTTCGCATCCTTATTTTTAAATTATTAATCTTTATTATAATTGTTTATAGAGACTGTCATTTTTGTTATTTACCATAGATGTTGCACTTCTTAGGTACAATTATATTGACATAATAGCAGTCTTATATATGTTTTTATGTTCTATTTGTATGACAGAAAATTTGAACATATTTCAATAATATATATTTTTTTACTTTAAGTAACAAATTAGGCATCTAATAAAAATATCATGATATCACAAATTGTATTAACATTTAAAACAGATACGAGTCGTATAGTATAATATATCTCTCAGCTATGTTTATCAACTTCCTGTAACATAGTATAAATACCGAATAATTATAGATATCACTATACATATAGAATTTGAATCTTTCGAGGAAATAACATTTTTTGTTTAATTTAAAAGACTTATTATAATATTTGCATATCAGTATCAAATTTTCCTATATGTACTGGATTTAGATGTCGACACTTAACATAAAGCATATTTTGTTCGAATATGATTGGCTTTTCTGTTCTTTCGTCGTCGTTACTAATATGTCTGTTGTGAAGACAACGACAATCATGGTAGTAGTTCTTTTTTCTTTCTCTATTTTTTTCTTCTTATCATGAATAATTCTTCGATTGAAATCTTGTTAAATCATAGTCTAGAAGGCAATAAATATTGATTGCTCACCATATGATGCATTTACTTCTCTGAAATTTTAGATATGATCAATACAATGTTTAATTACTTTAGATTTATATCAAATAACAAAAAAATAGGAAATCATTGTCGATATTTATTTTTTAGTCATTCGATCGCAGAAATAAAGAAGAAAATAGAAGATCATAAGTGACGAACTAAGTCTACACAAAAAGTACGATAAAAAGATACAGAACAAAGGTTGATAAAAGTAGCAAATATAAAAAAAGGGTAAGAATGATAAAAAATCATATCTTGTCCTTAGTTCTTCTTCAAGATTTTATACTTTAAAAGAACATTTTTTCTTTCTCTCATTAACATTGTTAATATGGGTGTGTATACATTTATTCTTCTTTTTTTTCTAGATTAGTATAGTAAAAAAAACCAACGATATGGCAAAAAATAGTCCAAAACAAAAGAACAAATCATATTCGAATATTGGTTTTAATACACCGGTACCTGAACATCCATCATTGAATGAAGTTTATGAAGATACACCATTTTCCGAAGCATTTTGGACTTATTTAAATTATGTTATTTTAAATATATTTGGTTGGTTTCGTGATCTTCTTCGAAATGCTCGAATTGAAAATCGAAAAGGATCAGCAGAAAATAATCCACCCGTAAGTAATATTTACAATAAAATCGTATCTAATGTAATAAAAAATGATTAACTATATTTATCATCAAATTAAATGATATATACACATGTATCTTTCTTAAGGCACATCTAAAAAGAGCTCCTAACTTTTTAAAATTATTTATTTTCGATAGAACTGTCATATAGTTAATACCCATCATCTTCATGTACTTTCTATGTGAATAATTTTTTATACATAGGGTTTTGTTCCACTTTATCAAAGTTATGAGAGCTTCTATACTCGTAATGTTTATCAACGTATTGCCGATTGTTTTAACCGACCAATTGGTAGTGTGCCTGGTGGTACTCTTGATCTACTTGAACGTGTAACTGATGATTATAATTGGTCATTTAAGTAATTTGTTTTTGTTTCCGAAATAGAATGATTCCATAATTGTTTTTTCTTTTTTTTTAGTTTTACTGGTGATAAAGTAAAAACAATTAATCTTGGCTCATATAATTATCTTGGTTTTGCCAATAATAGTGGACAAATAGCAGAAAATGTTATTAATTCAATAAAAACCAGTGGTGTTTCAGCAGCAAGTGCTGCACAAGAATGTGGTAAGTGTTCATTTCTTTTTCTCTTTATATAAATAATAAACTTGTTGTATGTAACTAAATATTAAAAAAAAAATAATCAACAACTTGTGTTTTTGTATATGTCTCACATAATTTCACTAACTTGTATCAGGCACTTTAACACAACACCGAAAGCTTGAATCTTTGCTCGCTGAATTTCTTGGCACAGAAGATGCCATCGCATTCGGTATGGGATTTGCAACGAATGCGCTCAATATACCAACATTGGTCGGAAAGGTATATGTGCTATTTCTTTATTACACCTTGCTCTACTTAGTCCTACTCATATTTTCGTATTTCGCTCCTTAAAAAAAACTAAGAAATATCAACCCTTCAGCTTATATTCTTACCAAAAATATTCAAAATATTTTATTTTTTTAAGGGTTGTCTTATTTTAAGTGATGAACTTAATCATACATCACTTGTTCTTGGTTCTCGTCTATCAGGTGCTGTTATTAAAGTTTATAAACATAATGGTTAGTTTTGTTATTTATTTATTATATATATATATTTGTATTTAATTATTTTATCAATATAGATATGATTCATTTGGAAAAATTATTACGAGATTATATTGTATCTGGTCAACCACGAACTCATCGACCATGGAGAAAAATTTTAATTATTGTTGAAGGAGTTTATAGGTTAGTTTAAAACGAAATAATAAATTAAATTGTATATTTTATTCTTTCTAAATTTTAGTATGGAGGGTTCATTATGTAAATTACCCGAATTAATAGAGCTTAAAAAGAAATACAAAGCTTTTCTGTATTTGGATGAAGCACATTCAATTGGTGCTATGGGTTCACGAGGTCGTGGCGTTGTTGATTATTGGAAATGTGATGTTAATGATGTTGATATACTTATGGGTACATTTACAAAAAGTTTTGCTGCAGCTGGTGGTTATATTGCTGGAAAAAAAGTAAGGTTGAACAAAAAAAATATTTTTCTTTATTAAAATTTATATACATTGAAGGAATTAATTGATCACATTCGTATAGCATCACATGCTCAAACGTATGCCGTATCAATGAGTCCACCTGTTGTAGAACAAGTTATTTCTGTGCTTAATTTATTAATTGATGAGAATGAAGAACATGAAGGTATATTATCAAAAAAAAAAACTTTAAATTTTAATTACTATTACAAATTTAGGTCGTCAAAAAATCAATCAATTAGCATGGAATACACATTATTTTCGACAACGTTTAACAAAAATGGGTTTTATTGTTTATGGTCATCCACATTCACCTGTCGTACCAGCTCTATTATATAGTCCATCGAAAATTGCGTATGATTAAAAGATTTTTTTTCAATTAATATTTACATAATAAGATTTTTCTTCTAGAGCATTTAACCGTGAAATGTTAAAACGTGGTGTAGCTGTTGTTACAGTCGGTTTTCCAGCTACACCATTAGTACTTGGTCGTGTTCGTTTTTGTCTATCAGCATCTCACACAAAAGAAATGCTTGATGAAGTATATATAAATATTTGTTCTTGTATGAAGTGTTTTTCTTTGCTTATTGTTATCATTCAGGTACTCAAACATGCTGAAGAAGTAGGTGATTTACTCAATATGCGTAAATCAAAATTAAATCCTAAACGACCATTTCATGAAACTGAATTATAATTGATAACTGTCATATACATATATCTATATGCATTCATCTTCAACTCTAATATTATACATCCAATTAATTGCAAATTCAATTTTCAAATTTTTGTGTTTATTTTTCTTTTCTCTTAAAAAGCTTTGAGCAGCTAATCATGTTCTTTTTTGTTCTTTCGCTGTGTCTCTTCAATCTAATTCTGGTGTTCAGGTACAATGCATTTAAAATTCATTGAATGAAAACTCAAAAAAACGAATGCATGACATCTTTTTTTGGTATGATGGAGAGTCTTTTTTTTCTTCCTTTCTTTCTTTCTTTCTCTCGTTTTACATGTTCAAACAATCATTGCATGCTTAGATCTTTTCTATTACATATCGTATAATTATGATTATTGTTCTTTTTTTTTGCGTTCGCTTTTCGCCGAAGACAATATGAGCTATTTGTAATAGAAAAGACTAACATGTCATGTTTCATTATTTGTTGTTCTGTCATTGAAATACATATATATATATATATTTTACAAAGAAAAATTATTCTTTGTGTCTCAGAAAAAATTCATATTGAGATAATTTAAAAAATAATTGAATAAATTCATTTAATTATTTAGAGAAAATTATTTTAATGGCTGGTGCCGCTGTTGATGTTTATGATCATGATCCCGTTTATTTTTCTTTGAATGAATTTGAACAACATGAACAAGTTAAAGAATTAATTGATCGAATTGGATCTATTAATCCTCAAACAGTGATAGTAAATGATGTAGCTGAAACAACTGATGTCGAACGTATTTATGATAAATTTCAATATATTCTTAATCAATACCAAGAACAACCACAATTATTGGATTCATATTTAGCAGAAATAATTAATAAATTACTTCATTACATTGAACATGGTCCTAATAAAAATCATATAGCCGGTGCACTTCTTCATCATATTATAAAAGTTCGTGGTTTTAAAGTCATGACAACACGTTTTTTACCGCATGAACCTCATCATTTAATGATTACACTTAATTTACTTGAACGTGAATTAACAGAAAATTCATCATCGGAAAATGCTTGGGCAACACTTTATTCATTACTTGTTTGGCTTGGTACAACATGTATGGTACCACTTGATTTATGTCGATTTGATGCCAAATCTGCTAAACAAACAACAATGTCACAAATATTAAATATCTATAAACATTTTCTTTATAATTCTGTTTATATGCGTATGGTTGCATTTAATCTTGGACATTTTATGTCACGTCAAGATTCCATACGTCTATCATGTTTAAATGATTTTTTAACCAGTGAAATCTTTCCAATACTTGAAGCATATGATGATAATCAAAATGATGAACAAATTATTTTACGTATGACAGCATCTTTACAAACATTATCATATATATTTAAATTTGGACAACGTTTAAATTTAATTACATATGTTGATGTATTATATAATTTATTAATTAATAAACGTATTTTATATGCTAAACGTATTGTTATACGACGTATGGCTTATAAATTATTACAAAAACTTGCAATGACTTTATTACCTATGCCTAAACATGGTGCAGCATGGAGATATCGTCGTGGTGTTCGAAATCTTTTAGATTCATTAACAATAAAAAAGAATACACCAGTTACTACAACAACTATGACAGTGTATGTAGTCTTTTTGATAGATAAAAAAATTCATTTTTATTCATTTTTCTAGTAAACCAACATCCAAAGTCAATGGACATAATCATGAACCGTATGAGAATGGTGACAATGACGAAATAGAAGATAATAGCAATGTTCCATCTTTAGTTGAATCTATACTTGAATTACTTATGGCAGGTTTAAGTGATAAAGAATTATATGTTCGATGGTCATCAGCTAAAGGTCTTGGTCGTATTACGAATCGTTTACGTAAATCTTATGCTGCTCAATTAGTATCTCTTTTATGTGATCGTATATCAACAGTTGCTCTTCTTGCCTGTGATCATTATGCTTTACAAGGTGGATGTTTAGCATTAGCTGAACTTGCACGTCGTGGTCTTCTTTTACCTGAACGTTTAGATGCCGTTATGCCTATTGTACACAAATCACTTAATTATGATGAAAAACTTGGTCATCAAACATATGGGCATATTGTACGTGATGCTGCTTGTTATGTAAGTTGAATTTTATTATGATTAATTAAAAATCTAATATCTTTTCTTTAAAAGGTTTGTTGGTCATTTGCACGTGCTTTTGATCCAATTGATTTTCGTTCATATATAGGTGATTTAGCTGGTATGCTTTTATGTATAATATGTTTCGATTGGAATGTTCAGTGTCGTCGAGCAGCATCAGCTGCTTTACAAGAAAATGTTGGTCGACAAGGAGAATATTTTCCACATGGAATTGATATAATACAACAAACAGATTATAATCTTATTGGAAAATTTGATTATTGCTTTTTAATTTTAGCACATTCATTAATAAAATATTATGATGTCTTTGGAAGATATATGATTGAACATTTATTAAAATATAAAATTATTCATTGGAAAAAAGAAACACGTTTATTAACTAGTCAATTATTAGAAAAAACAACAATAGATTATGGGACAATTGAGGAAATTTATGAAAATATTTTATTACCATTATTTGATCGATGTTTAGATAGAAAAAATGATGGAATTACAAGACATGGTCTTTTAGCTACTTGTGGTCATATTGTTTATGGACTTCATCAACGATATAAAAGAGTATGAAAACATAATATTTGTTTTTGAATTAGTACTTTAATTTTGTTAATATAGGACCCAAATGAATGTCAACGTTTAGGAGAATTACGAGACAATTTACAAAAGAAAATATCTACTTTATTAAATGAATATAAATCACTTGGATTTCTTGATGGATATTCAGGTGATCTTATTCGACCATCACTTTGCTCATTTATTGAAAAAATATCACAATCAATCGATTATTTCCAACAAGATAAAAATAATGCTTGTTTTTCAAACGAAACAATTGATTGTTGGCAAACAATTTTGGATGAATCCATCAGTAATTTAGATGATGATGTTAGACAAGCAGGATTAAATGCACTTAAAGCTTTTTCAAAAGCATTTTTTTCAAATAGCAGGTATATATATGTGTTCATCATATTCTATTTTATTGCTGTAAATACATACGCGATACCATATTTTAATCATGATAAAGATGTACAGGGGCCCCTGCCGTACACTACAGAGTAGGGTAGGGTCTTGAAATCTTACTCTGACAGGGTGCAAGGTAATGAAATCGCTGACCCTGCACATGTCTAAATCATGAAAAAGACTCAATAAGACTAAGAAAAATGCTCATAGAATCACAAAAAAGTTTTATTAGTACTATTGATTTGGAAGTCATACAAAACTGATTGTTGATTACGGATTTCTCTCTTAGTATCTTGAAATACACTAAAAATTCATTACTGTTAATCATAATTCAAGAAAAAAAGAACTAATGATATGACTCCTTTTACTGATTTCTATAGATACTACAAATCCTCTCACTGATTAAAATATGACGTTAAACGATGATGATTTTTTTTACATAAGTAGACTGAAAGTTATCACTTTTGATATAATTCTTTTTTAGTTCTTCTGATTTAATTGATCGTTATCTTATAAAAATTTCTACTACTTCACAAGAACATATTCGACAAGGATTTGCTTTAGCTTTATCATATTTACCATGTGAAATGTTATTAACAAGTAATACTATTAATAAAGTCAGCGATTGTTTATTTAATTTAATTACAATCTCAAAACAAACTCAACATTTAATAAAACAACGTAAAGATACACTTATTGCATTTTGTAATCTCTATGAAAATCTTCATTTACATTCCTTATCACCATTTTCTACTCAAGAATCAATAAATAAATTAATCAATTCATATCTTCGTTGTACACGTGATTATACAAATGATCGTTTTGGTGATTCTGGTCGTCTTGTACGTGAAACAGCATGTACACAATTAGTTCGTTTACTTAGATTAATCAATACAAATATAAAAACCAAATCCTTTTTAAATTCAGCAATACTTCATAATTGTCTTAATTCAATTTTAACAAATTTATGTTCAAAAATCGATGATTTACGAATGACAAGTGGTCGAGCATTACTTGAATTTTTATCGATTCAATTTGAATATCCAATTGAAAATAAAAATGATTTTGAGAAAATTTTCTTAAATCAAACTGATATCGACTGGCGTAATTCAGAAAAAGTTTTTCCTTTAATTGTTCAATTATTAAACTATGATAGATATCGTTCTATAATATGGTTAAATTGTTTAATAACAGCAGGTGAATTATCCAATGCAAGTATAGCATTATATTCCCATTTAATTTTACATAAATCAAATGAGCATTTAATAAATTTACTTTTACAAGATTTAGAAAATATTTTTACGAATAAACAAAATTTACAAATACGTATTATTGTTCCATGTATACAAGCATGTGAACGTCTTTTATCTCAATCAACATTTGAATATTATTATGAAAAAAATTCACAAAAATTTATTCAATATTGGATAAATATAATTCGTTTATTAGATGATATATTAGATAAAAAAAGTCAAACATTAAATAATAATCCAACATTATATTTACATTTTATTAAATTATATTGTTCATTATTACAATTTAATAATAATGAATTAAGATCTTTAATATTAAATTTATTAACAAAATTTTTTCTTCATAAATATCCATGGGTAAGACGACAAGCTGCACAAAATCTTTATGATACATGTGTTATGTTTAATGATGATTTATTTATTGATGATAATGAAAATGAATCTGAACAAGTTATGAATTTATTAACAGAAACAGATTGGGAACAAAATATAGATGAATTAACAACTATTCGACAAACATTACTGAATTTATTTCATATAGAATGAAGAATATTAGATTTTATATTCGATTAATGTTTTCATTTTATGCGATTGATCTGATATCTGTATGTTCGTTTTTTCTTTTTTCTTCTCTTCTACACAAATGTGTCAATGTATTTCCATTTGCCGATGTATGTGATGATCTAAGATCTTTTCTTTTTGCTAAGCAGACATTTGACATGTAAAAGAATGCTTTTTTTATTAATAAAAAATAAACAAGAGACTAAGATATATTTTTTTAAATGAGATATAGTTTTCAGACTATATCTTCCTACGATGAAATTGTAAAAAAAGAAGAAATCATTTACATACTTTTTGATTTGATCGTGATCGATTTCCGAGTCTTTCTCTGTATAGTGTCTAAGAGTATTGATATAGTTTATTTTCTAGAGCAAGGATGCTTTGAATAGCATACAATTATTAAATTGTGAGACAGAGATAAAGAACGTCTAAAAACCAAACGACCGGTTATTTGTTCCGGATCATCCATCTGATAGCGTACTGATTACATTGTGACTAGTACGTAGTTAAACGAAGAATACTGAGTCAGGCTGGTCTTCAGTCCACAGCTGAAGTTAGTAATAGTTGTAGAGAAAATATCGGGCTCTCGAATCTGTCTTTGGGCAGCGCTTTATGCTGCGAGGTAGTCAAACGATAAGACATTCTTTCTTTCTTATTCCATCATGAAAGTTGAATCTAATAACACATATTTTCCTTGTTATATTTCAAACTCAATTGTGATTATATCGATGGTAAGATAATGAAGTTATCTACGGATTTATTTTTATTTGTTTAATAAATCATAACGAAAAAGAAAACTTATATAATATATGTCAAGCAGATAATTGTAAGTTAAAATAAAAACCTTAAACTTATTGATGATTAATTAAACAATCATAAAAAGATGAATCTCTATTAAAAAAAACTAAATAAATATCTAGTCTTTATTAATAATAATGATTTTATTTTTTATTTTCATCCGAATCATTTTCATCATTGGATTCTTGTTCTTCATCATACATTCGACGAAGTGCTCGTGTAAGTTGTCGTTTTAATTTTTCACCTTGACATTTTGTTTGTATATCAGTTTTAAGTGCTTGATATCCATTTGTATTCGAAGCATATGTATTATCACTTATAACATCAGGATAATAGCGTGACCATGTTAAACCGAGATTTGTTAGACCCTGTAGAAAGCATTTTGCTTCTGGTAAATCCGTAGGAGCTAAATATTTTGAAAAGAAAGCGAATGAGAACATTATTCTCGAAAATTATATTTTAAAATGTTTACATACTTTTTGAAAGACAGACTTTATTGCATATAAGTGCATTGTTTTCATCGCGAATCTCAAAATTGAATCCATGACCAATAACAACATCAGCATCAGCTACTAAAACTTGTTGAGCAGGATTTTGTAATTGATAGTAAGTACCTTTCACATAGATATGTACTTTACAAGTTTTTGCAACACTTTCTAATGATGTAACACGATCTTTAAAATCATCATGGACTAATAATTGATCGCCAACTATATATTTGCCTGCTTTATATTTTTTTATTGGACATTTTGATGTTGCTAAAAGAAATATTCAGAAATAAAATAAATGAATTATTTATTTCAATAATAACTTACTAAAGAAAAGTCCTTCAGTTAATGCCACCAACAGAAATAGAAATACAACAGTATGTCCTTGCATTTTCGTTTTTCTATATATGTATAAATATGTGTTTAAATGTTTTTTATATTCTACTTTATATAGCATTTTTTTTATCGAGGCGTATATTTAACAATTGATGAATAAGCTTGATATCGTTCTTGGTACTTATATTCTTTCTCATTCATCAATTGCTTTAATAAATAACATTTCTTTCTTTTTTCTCAATAATTTTAATATCAACATTAGTATGTTCTCTTCAAATATGTTATTCACCTAGGTAATACTATATAAAGACTATGACAAGAATAACTGAAAAGAAAACAAAACGATATTTTGATCTATTAGAAAAATATTTGCTTTCTTTTTCGAGTTTTCATCTTTTCTATTCCTACACACACACACATACATATATAATATTCATGAGCAAGCTAATGGATATATTCATATAATCCACATTCAAACATATTATTCATCGATAACATTGTCATTTTCAAAAGCCAAGAAAAACGACAGGATATGTCAATAACTAACAGCATGAAATAATATTATTCTTATCGTGCAAGGAGTTTGCATAGAAATTAGTGGAATTAGATCGATTAAAAATAAAGCAAATATTTTATTTGGTATTATATCTATAAACTGATATGTGACTATAATGTAATCCATTTTTGAAGTGAAAAACACTGCTATGAATATGAACTTATATGTATAGTTAATATGAGTCGATATGCGTCGAATCTGATAGATAAAGAAGAATAAACTGTATAAAAATAGTTAGAAATCTCATTTCAAGACATCTATTTATATCAAGAGAATAGAAATGATTCTAAGACACATACGTATGAAGTATTCATACAAATTTTATTACTTTTATTTTATAGTAATTTACATGCATATTTTTCGATCGTTAAATCGTGGAAGTATTCGTCAATATGAGTACTATTACAATATGAAACATATTGTATTCTGATATTTGATATGATTATTCATTTATTTAAATATGAAATGAGATAAATATATGCTTCCAGACGTCAAATGTGACATATAAATCATTGTACGCTGTCAGATAAAACTGATTATATTTAAAAATAGTTAATAAAATAAAAAATCGTTCTTAGATATATGGCTTGTGTAGAAATTCATAATTGACTGTCTTTTTTTTGTAGCTATTTATTTGATTTACAACATCAATAATGAAACTAATAATAATAATGTTATTCATGCCATTTTATATTCTGGATGTCCTTAACAAGAACAAAAACGTTTCTACTTTGTGTTTTTATTTGTCAATTTATAGAAGTACCAAGAATATTCATTAGCTAATTCAAATAGAAAATAAATGAAAGAGAACTTTTTAAAAATGATTTGCTAATATATTTTTGTATGATGTATATTTAATAAGCTAGATCGTCTCATTTAAAATACACGATTCTCATCGAATGATCAGTCGAAAAGGGTGCATTAAGTTTTATAAACTCGAGATACTTAAAAGTTACTTTAAATTTTGATCCTGATCACAATGGTGAAGAATTTAATTCTTTACGTAATTTATTGTAGCAGAAATCAGGCTGTTTTGAAACGAGTATATCGAAATTTGATATATGGTAATATCTACCGCATAAAATTCTACATCTCTAGATATAAGTCATCTATTATTAATCATTATGTAGATATTTTTTGTTATAAAAATGCTGTAAGCACCGACTTTTTGATTAAGAATTCTAACATATTGCATGTCGTGCAATTGTTTTTGTTTGAAACATTTATCAAAGTGAAGTCGTTACAAAAATTAAAATTTCTTGCCATTTGCTTATTAGTTTTTTTTTTGAATAAAATTAGTTACAGCAATTTATATTGCATTTATTTTGTAAATGTAAACATTTGAAAAAAGTATAATATAATAAAAGTATAGAGAATATTGTCCGATCGTCTAAATATGAACAAACTTAATCTCATCATTATCTTTGTCTTATTTGGCACTACTCATACACGTCAAATTGGTTCGATATCTGATCATGTATTTACTTATTCCTATTCATTTCAAACAAATGACTTGCCGATAACATTACAAAATATAACATCATGCAGTGCTTGCATTTGTACTGCTTTTATGTCTTCAATTGATTATGTGGCTATCAATTGTTATAACAACAACAATACTTGTCTGCTGTTACCTTCTTCAGCTAGTAGTATAGGTATTGTTTCATCCCAAAACAATTCATTGTACATACTATCCAGTACGATAATACCACTGATTACTGTAGGTAGTTCTACTAGTCTATCCTCAACTAGTATACCCGATACTACTTCTATACCAAGTAGCACTAGTTCAACATCCACAAGTACAAGCTCTTCATCAACTAGTATCACTTCAACATCAAGCAGCACTAGTTCAACAACATCCCGTACTACTTCAACATCGAGCAGTACCAGTTCAACATCAAGCAGCACTAGTTCAACAACATCCAGTACTAGTTCAACATCAAGAACTACTAGCTCAACAACATCCCGTACTCCTTCAACACCGAGCACTACTAGCTCAACAACATCAACTACTAGTTCAACATCGAGCAGTACTAGTTCAACATCAAGCAGCACTAGCTCAACAACATCCAGTACTAGTTCAACATCAAAAACTACAACTTCAACAACATCTAGTACTAGCTCAACATCAAGCAGTACTAGTTCAACATCAAGCAGTACTAGCTCTACATCAACTAGTACTAGTTCTACACCAACTAGTAGTAGCTCTACACCAACTACTATCGGTGGTAGTGCGAATTCAGGTAGTGGCAATTCTGGAAATGGCAATAACCAATATTCAGGATACGGACAGGCCAACTACCATTGAACTAAAATAATTTTTATTGTATTTTATAAACTTTGTTTAGAGTTTTTCTGACTTTTATAGTACCAGTGTAGTAACAACTACAGTACGTATTACCGTATGATGTATTTCTTGATCTACTACACAATAATCTGATGCCTCCTATATTGTTCATGCAATTGAAGAATACCTATTCACAGTTTTATAAATCAGTTTTAAACAAAAAATATTCATTTTAATCCTTATTTAAATAACTAAATAATTGTATCACTCGCTTTATTATTTGTTTGTTATAAATTTATGATCAAAATATCTGAAGTATAATACAAACTAGATATAAGTAGCATGCATTGCAAATGAAAATCGTTTAGCGTAATATTGAGGGTGTTCATCAAACGATATTACTACGAATCGACAACAACTGTATACGAAGGAAATCCTGAGAATAGTACTCATATATTAATGTAATATGTCACAAATCATATCTTTTTTCATTAAATATAGAAACAGAAAAGTTCTTATTACTAATTAAAAACTGCTAAATGAAGGACTGATCCATGATACATTAGAAGATTTTATTAATGAGTTATGAAATTAAATTTCCATACACTTTTTCAAATATTCATAATTGCCGAACATACTCGATATATAATAGTTTAAGTGTAAACTATATCTAGTGAAATGCATTCAATATTATAAAGTTTATGTCACTAGTTATGAAAATACTTATAAACTCTATTTAATTAAACTGAAATATTGTATTTATCTATGCATAGATCAAAAAAGTTAAAACATGATTTTAAAGTACGATTAAAAAAAACAAAATCTACTATCGAACTCATTTACCTAAAAATATTAGATTTTATTATATAAATACAGAAAAATCAAATATATGTTACTAAAAATCTGTTTTAGAAAGTTTTTATTAAAGAATAGTATTGTTTTGTTCTAATTGTTTGAATATTCGAATTTTATTATTATTTGCATTACATCAAAAAGAAAAACAAAAGAAAAATCATAATAACTAAATCAATTGTTTTATATAGATGAATAATGTTGGAAAAAAAACACACACACACGCACACGCACAGACAATAGTTTGTCAAATAACAGAGAAAGGAAACCGGCCATTCATTAGTGAACAATTATAACAAGAACAATATTAATAGCAAAAAACCACGCATGAAATCAAATAATAATAAGAAGGAAGAGCAAGATATATATATTTAAATAAGGGCAAAAAAAAGTAGAATACAATTTAGGAAACATTTCGTTTTTGAACACTTTGAATGTCATTCTCATCATCATTCTCTACTTCTTCTCCATTGTCTACCCGTTGATCTCGTTGAATATGACCTCGATTTTCCCGAACTTGTTCACGATCACCAATACGATAATTATTATTTTTCAATGCTACTGATGGCAAATCATGAACAGGTTCATCGTCATCAACATTTTCCAAATCATTTCTTTTCACAGAATCTTCTGGAGATTTTTTATGCTCACGTACACGTATATTATCTAAATTTACATTTTGTTCTTCTTCATCATCATTCTCTTCATTATCAGAAAGTTTGACAGTTTTATTATCACTTAATAAATTATTTAATGAACGTTGTGACTATTTAAAAAAAATAAAATAAGACAATGGAAAAATATATATTTATTTATTATTATCTTACACGTTGTTGATATCGTAAATTATCTACGACTCCTTGATCTAAAACAAAAATAATTAATATTTTAATATGTAAATATTAGTGTAAAATGATATATAAAAAATCAGAAAATGGACTCATTCTACTGATCCTTTTTGAGTGTTATATAATACCTACTTGAATATAATAAATTTAGTACAGAGTTTATGAGTATTTTCAGACATTATTTACATACTATTTGATCATAACACGTCAGTTAAATAAACATTAAAACAGTCACTTTTTTATTACATACCAAAGTAAATAAAATGAAATAATTATATATTAATTTACGTTTCGGAAGAACTATATGTAGTATACGTCAATTTCATTACAACGATTGGTTATATCACTAATAGAGTATAAACTTCTTTACAATTTGCTTATCTATAGAAGTTTATGTTCATTTGAATACAATTTTTATGACTATAACGATTAACTCATACAAATCCATCAATATACCAATGAAAATACTGTATATTTGATTAACTTTAAGATCGAACGAGAATATCTAATAAATGATTACCTTGATCATGATTATCAGAAAATTTGGATGCACTTTGTGCTGATTGTCGTGTATCATTATTTAATGGCGGCATTGGAACATTTCCACCAACTTCTTGATTATATCTATTATGGATCGGAATTTGTTGTTGTTGTTCATTTGCTATAGTAGTAGTTGATGATTTTGTATTTAAACCAACTGCATCTAAAACTTTATCTTTAACATCTAATGCAGCTGGAATAATTTTTTCTTTAACTTCATTTGTTAAATTATTTAATTTATTCAAAGAATTATCAAATAACGATGCTGTACTTTTAGTTGTTAGATTATTTGAGATAAATGGTCGAAAACGTTCGGGTGGATTTGCAAAATTATTTTGTTGTTCATTATTAGCCGGCACTTGAGTATCTCGTGATCTTAATGAAAACAATTATTTAAACATAAAAAACAAATGTTTGAATTTAAAATTTACTGTCGACTATTTTTCAATGTTTCATATTCTTGTTTCAATCGATTTATCGCATCATTACCAGTTTCTAAATATTATATTAAAATTTATTATGTTGACTAATATAAATAATACGAACGTTTTTGATCGTATAATTGTTGTTGTAATTGTTGAATTAATGAATCTTTTGAAACAAGTGTTTTATTCATAGATTTGTATTCTTTCTATTTAAATAGAAGAAAAAAAATAAGAAATTTTAATATTTAATTAAATTTACCAATTGTTCATCAAGTATATTTTTATCTGTTTTAAGACTTTGAAGATCAGCTATTTTTTCATTTAATTTGGTATTAAGATCATTTATTTCTGAATCTTTTTTTTCCATTTGTTTTTGAATATTTAATTTTTCTTCTTCAAGTTCATGTTTACGTGAATTAATGCTTTCAATTCTCTTATCTAAATCACTATTTTTTAATGTTAACTAAAAAACAACAGATAAAATTTATATTTAATTCATTAGAAAAAAAAGTATTATTCTATACCGAACGAATACGATCTTCAAATTGTTCAACGGATGATCGTAATTCAGAGTTTTTTGATGAACATGACATATAAAAAATACCAAGAAGGAACATAATAATCACAAGACCAACAACAATAAAACTTGGCGTACGACCTGACATATTGATTAATCGATTATTAATATCTGTTTGAAAAAATATTTAATCTAAAAATAGAAATTAATTGTTAATGTTTTATCGTGAGAAGAAAAATCATTTTCAATGAAGTTAAATGGTCATATAAAACGTGCTTTTTATATGGTAAATTCATATTATAATGGAAGGAAGAATTTAAAATATGAGTTTAACGCGAATGTGATATGAAAAGAAAGAGAATATTAAAATAAAAACGAACCCGATAGTATTCGTGTTTTTTTTCTTTTTATTCTCTTCCATCTGTTCCTTGTATGTCTTGTATAAATGCAAGAAAAATAATGTTAACTTTGACTGCATAGTTAAATATCGCTGCCGATTTCAGTTACATATAGACATCATTATATACTTACATATTTTTTGTTCCTGTTTTTGAATATAGTTCTATATAAAAGTGAACAAAATGCTAGCATGAAAGAAATATTTTTTTCTTTAAATTATATTTGAAAAATATCTAATCATTTTTTTTTATTTGAACTCATTGATTCGAGTAATGTTTTTAATTGCTTTCGTCGTTGATTAATATATTCCGATGTAATACATCGATTAATCTCATCCATAAATTGCTCAAAAAAATTTTTATCATTTAAATTTTTCATTGAACAATATTCCTGAATATACCGACAAAATTCTTCAACAACAACAATTACATATAATCCACAATCAAAACCATTTGCTTGTTGTGGACAACGACTATTTATTAGATGAATATCACCATGAAAAAATATTTTCAATTTTTTTTGCATCTCTTTAGCTGTACGATCATTTAATGATGACATTGAATCAAAATGATATAAAATTTTTTCTGAAGGAAAAGTTTTTTTTTTATTAATAAAACGAAAGAAAAATATATTCCTACCTTGAATAGAAAGAATGAGTAATGACCAATGTGAACCAGAAAATTCTGTTACTTGTCTGTTATCATTAATTGGTAAAATAAGAAATTTTTTTTCAAGAAAATCTATTGATTGAAGAAGTTGTTCAGCAAATAAATCATCACTCATTTTTATTAATTGTACAACTGGTGGTGAAACAAATGCAAATAAATTCTGATTATCTTTAAGAAATTTTGATTCATTTTGAACGTATTCAAAAGCAAATGTTATTATATTATCATCAAGCCAATTTGATTTATCAAGAGTTTTTAAATTTGATACACGTACAATTGAATCATAATAACTAACAAGTATTGGATCCAATTCTAACGAAGCAGACATTATAATACTGATGATGATGGAATAATAAACAAGCAAGAAAAAAAGAACTAAAAAATTATAATTGGTAGTGACAAACACTATATTGTCTGTAGATGACGTAACAAGTCGAGAGAAAATTTTATGACATTTTGAAATACGACGAAAGAAAATAAGATTTTGTATATCGTCAGCTTTGTCTCAGGGAAGAATATAGAAAATAGACCGTTAGTTATATCGATCATATAAATACTTTTCAAACATACGATTATAACATTAGAAAATCATCTAACGTATTTTATATAAGTAAGAAAAATTGATTCAATTTCGTATATTGACAAATTTTCGACATATTATTTTAGTGTCGATTTCTTATAGTCAACCAAATCTTATTATTCCCGAACTTGATAATGATCCAGCTATTATAAAAGTAATCATATAAAATAGAATTATTTCAAATATTTTATTGTTTTTTTTTTCTTCTATTCGAAAGATAATTCATGATGGTGAAAAATTAGAACGGGAATCATATCGTCGGGAATTAATGCAATTATTAAAAATTACACCACCAGTTACAACTGAGTCTGATCAATTTATTTCTCAAACAATAAATCATGAAAATATTCAAACAACACCAGGTAGTAATTCAACTGATACTAATCGAACTAACCAAATATGGATTAAACGAACAGTACCAGTAACACCAACTTCAAATTTACATCGTCGACAACATTATCGTTCAGCTCTTCATCAACGTTCATTGAATAGTAGTGGTGATAGTTTAACAAATCGTAGTTTAATCGATAGTCCAAAAAGTAGTAATGGTAGTTTTATGAAACAAACACGATCTGATACAAATTTATCTTTATCACCAATATCAATCAATAAATCGAGTCCAATACAAACACATAGTAATATATCATTAACACCATCAGGAGTTTTGGTAACCGATTATCGACAATCAATGATGATGAAACGTATTGTTAATCCGTAAGTTTATTTTAATAAATAATTTCTCTTGGGTATTGTTTATTATTATTATTATTATTCTAGGCAATGGAATATTATTCCTTTTTCATAACAAACAATGGTTTTCGTTTTTTTTATTATTATTATTATAAACATTTATTTTGTTCATGTTCTATTATATATGTATGTGTGTACGTGTGTAAGCTTCTTATTATATACATCCGATAAGACAAACGAATAAAAACAAGAATTTTTTATTGAAAAAAGAATTTACGATTGCCAAAAAGAAAAAGAAAAAAAAATTGTTCTAATTAAGTAGTTGCTGCTGTTGCTGCTGCTGGTGGTTGAACTTCATGATCATCTTCCTCTTCTTCACTAACTTCCATTATACTGCTATATGGACTATCTATAAAAGAAAGCAGAACAATTTATAATATAAATGAACAAAAAGTTTTAGTTAAAATCGGTAAAATTGAATGAAAAATATAAATTTTAGAATTTTCTTTCTAGCTGTTACTTGTACAAATAATTATTGTTTGACAAAAGATGTTTTACTTAGAAAGAACAGTATTCTTACATGCTCAATAGGACTTGAACAAAAAAATCTCTCTTGATAGCGCGTACGTAGATCAGCCTTTAAGATTCTATAATTTTGAATTGAATAAATATTTCGAGCTTAAGCTTAATGAAAATATTCTATTTTACATTAGAAATATACATAATAACTTACTGAAATCAACAGGTAAATGGACTGTAAATCGAGCAGGATGATTGTTAATCGATGGTTGACCATTATTTGATTCATTAGTAGTACTATCAGCATCACCAATAACAGTATATGTTTGATTTTTTTCTTCTCTCTTTAATTGCATACCAATATTATAAACTTCTGCAATACAATCAACCTTTGAAAATAGAGAAACTACAACATACTAAAATGATTATAATTTAAAACATACTTCTTCTTTATCACCGACAAAAGGTGTACGCATATATTGTATTGAAGCATCTTCAAGTAACTGTACAAGTTTTTCTCGTACACTTTCATATTGTCGATATGCATTTTCATCAAATACGCGTGTGGTTCCATCAACAGTTGAATCACGTGGCAGACCGGTTGTTAAACATCTTAAAAAGTATTTTTTTTTTCTTCTTTCGTTAAATTAAAATATTTAACTTACGTAACACATTGTAGAGAAAATTGTGTAAGAGAAGATAATTCTAATATTCTCGGTTGATTAGGATCACCAATAGAAACAGCAATAATTGATTTAGCAATAGAATATTTTTCCAAGCGTAATTGTGTTGGAAAATTTTCAATTGGTATTGTATCTGCTAATGAAACAATTTCAATATCAAGTGGTAATTCATACCGTATAATAATTTCTGGTAATGTAAATAAATTCTCCGATGTATTTTTATGATAAGATTTATCAAATTCATCATCAAGAATTTTTGTAGCAAAATGAAATGAATCTGTTGCTTGTGTTGGATCAAGAAGAAATTCTTGATCATTTTTATCACCTAATACAAACATTTCTTTTCCATTTGTTATTGTTGTTGATTTTTCAATACGTTTTAATGTAACTTCAGTATTTTCTTTTAATAAAACGGGTATTGTTTGATTTGTTGGTAATAATAATAACGCTGATGTATCACGAAGTAATCGAATATGTTCACGAGGCATTTCAAAGCGTAATAATTCCATAGCATTAGTAAATTGCCACCAACGAGATTTATATGTTGGATTAGATGATAATACACGACATTGACCTTGGAACCAATCTGGTAATATAAATGTTCGTTCATCGGATAATAAGGATTTCGATAATATTAAATGTCGATCATACATTGATTGTAAATAGAGTATATCATTTTTTACTAGATTTGTATCCCATGGTTGACTTACACGTATGATTTGAGGTAATTGAAAATATTCAATAAAATCATGAAAAAGATATTCACCAACTTCCCAATCAAATTGTTTGATTTCATCAGCTATAGTAACAAGAGTTTCTTTTTGAGACTCTGCTAAGTCCAATGGAAATAATGTCATTTTCATGAAAATAAAATTTTTCCTTGTTGTTTGTATATAAACAAATGATCAATAGTAAACGTTTGTGTGTTCTGTACTTTGCGGTCGACTGCTTACAAATACGTAGGTGTACATACGGACTAGTCAAAAAGAGAATAAAAAAATGAGCAGTACATTCTATATATAAATATACGTTTATTAGTAATGGTATACACGCACTCATCCTCTGATTTGATCACCACATCAATAAATATATACGCGTTAAACCATCAGCTCTCAATGTCAATTACATGCTCACCATGCGTGAATCTCCAAATACGACCAGATGTTCATCTTTTTTTCGTTCGTTCTTTCTTTCTATGTGTATATATATATACACATATACATCTATATCTGTATGCGTGGTCGGACAGGTAACCGTTTTTTTCTTTTTTATTTTTCATTTTTACCAAGAAAAGGTTTTCTGTCTCTCTTAAAGACAACATACCACACACACTTACAAACATAAAACATCATCAGACAACAGCAAAAAGAGAGCGAGAGAGAAAAAAAAAGTGAAGAAACACACCAATCACAATGAACGTTTGTCGGGCGTTTCAAAAAGACAGAAGTAAATAACTCAATAGCAGCAACAGAAGTGAAGAAAATCTGTACACAGATATATGGAAGAACTCTGATAGTGTTATTTGTTTTCAATACATACATACACAACTGACCACACACAACGGCAAAAAATAATCACAAGGAAGGAAAAGAAACGTACATACACTCACACAAACAAATGTTGGGAAGAGAAGAGAAGAGAAGAAGAGAAAAAAAAGAGAACATCTATCGATATATATATACATATATATCTATATATAAATAATGAACATCAATAATAACAACAACAACAACAATAATATAGGATAGAGAACGACTAGAAAGAAAAAAAAACGAAAATGTTCATTTGACTAAAAAAAGAAAAAGAAAAGAAATTTATATTTTTCTTCTTCGGTTTTTTTTTTGTTTGAGGTATGAGATATATAATGAAAAGAGAAGGTTCTATCTGGCTACATATAAACTCGATTTGTTTTCTGGAATATGGCACAATGGAGTGTTTGATGTGTCAAACAAATAAATTACTCATTTATTGTAGCATTATTCATTTCATTTTGTTGATTAGAATCATCTGTATGATTTGTTTCTATTTCTTCTTCTTCATCATCATTTTGTAATTGTTGTTGATGTTGTTGGTGTTGTTGTTGCTGTTTATCTTCAAGATCTTCATCTTCAATTAGTTCATCATCTTCCATAATCATATTTGGATTATCATTCAATCGAATAGCATCAGCAGCAGCGGCTGCTGCAGCTGCTGCTTCTGTTTGATATGGACGACAGTATTTATATCGATGGTTCATATGTTGACTAAATGAACCTTTAATAAAGAAAAATAAAAATAAAAACTTTTTTTCTCATTATTCAATTTACCAGAATGACTAAAACGCTTAAAACATTTTGTACATTGAAATGGTTTTTCGCCTGTATGTAAACGACGATGTTCAGCTAAATGATGTTTATGTTTAAATGCTTTTGTACAAACATCACATACAAATGGTCGAACACCTAAATAAGAACTATTAAATTAAATCATATTATAAAATTTTTAGTTTTATACCTGAATGTTCATATTTATGTCGAGCTAATGAACTTTGTTTACTAAAACGTTTATCGCACATGTCACATGCATACATTTCACCTTGAATATGATTTTTCCATGATTTTCTTTTACGTGATAAATCATTATCAATTAATTGTCCACATAATGATGATGATTCATCATTTGATAAGAGACTTGTTTCAGATGAACAATTATCAGCTGTACTATCAGGACTAAATGATTCATTCTAAAAAGTAAAAAATATTTTTATTTTTATGAAAATAACAAAAAAAAAGATTTTTTATTTACCTTGATCCATTCATTTTTATTTTCATACCAATTTGTATCATTATTAAATGCAACAGTTGCAGTCATATGTAAATGAGCAGCTAATTGTTGATCACCGGATTTTATATGAGATTTTTTTACTGTTAAATCTAATGGTTCAGTTTGTTCTTTTGATGATGTTGAATTTATTGATGGAAATGGAAGTGGTGGAGGTGGAGGAATTGAATTATTATTTGAAGCAGCAGCCATTAATGATGCACGTAAATGATAATAAGCTAATGGTAAAAATGGTGTTGTTGCATTGGTATTATTATTATTAGTATTGTTATTATTGTTATTATTATTATTATTTGGATTTGAATTTCCACCGGTTGATGTTGATGGAATGAATGTATTAGCAGATGATTTAATATTATTAGCTGCAGCATAACTTGTACGTAAAACATGAAACCAATGTTGAACATGTTGTTCACTAAGACCAACACGTTTCGATATTTCATGTAATTCATTGGAATTTGGATATGGATTTAAAGCATAATGTGCACGTAACATATTTAATTGTTGTTTATCAAGTAATTCAGATGATGATGATGATAAAGAATTATCGTGATCATTTGTTAATAAATTTCGACGTTTACGTTTACGTACTGGTGATGTTATAGTTGGAATTTCACCAGCTTCTATTTCATGATTTGGATTATTATTTCGATCAGATGATGATGATGATGGTGGAGTTGTTAATGGTATTGATGGCCATGCTGATGGTGATGGACTACGTGAATGAGATTTCGGTGTTGATGAATATGAATCTTTACGTTGTTGTTGTTGTTGAGCAGCTGCAGCAGCAAGTGCAGCTAAAGCAAATGGACCAAAATTTAACATTGAACGTGTAGCAAGTAAAGCAGCAACAGATGAATTTGTTGTTGATGGTACTTGTGTTGGTGATGAATGTAAATTATTATTTAATGTTGATTGTGGATATGCATAACATTTTTTTGATGTCATATGTGATGAATATGAACCCGAATGAGAAAAACGTTTACCACAATTAGCACAAACAAATGGTTTTTCACCAGTATGAATACGAACATGCTCCTAAGAAGAAAAAAAAAGATTTATTAATAAATTTATTTTTTATTCCTAGTAGAAAAATAAAAAATTTACTTTTAAATGATGTTTAAATTTAAATGCTTTAGAACAATGAGAACATTTAAATTTTCGTGTTTGAGGATCTATTTCATGACTTAACATATGTCGTTGAAGACGATAAATATTTGCAAAAATTTTATTACATAAATGACATGCAACTTGACTAGCATTATGATTTAATTCATGTTGATGTAAATCATCCTAAATATTTAAAAAATGTGACAACTGTTTTCTTTTTTTAAATATATAAACATACTTTATTGGTAAATACAGCATTACAATGAAGACAACTACTTAAATTTTCTGTTTGTTCAGGATGACATTGACTTGTATGTAAATGTAAATGTGTTATTTGTAGAAATTCATCTGTACAATAAGGACATTTAAATGATTGTTGTTGATTGGACGTATTAATTTCTACAAAGTAGAAGAAAAAAATTAAATGTTTTTGATGTTGTAAGTTTCAATAGTTAAACTTATCATCCATCTGTCTATGATTTTTATTCATCTGATCAAAAAATTCCACTACAGTCGTTGTTCACAGTGGGTGGGATGAGTAGACTTTCTCATGGCACATGGTCTCATTTGATGATCGATGATCTAGTTAGGTCCCTTTTTTTGTCTTTGTCTTTACGCGGTATGTCTATCAAAAGAGGATGGTCTCTCTTTCACAATGGGGGTCACTACTCTCCTTTGTATCGGCATTTTGTCTCATCTTTTGTCGTCACAGATCAACAGTCAATAAGAGGAAAATGCTCATGGGATATACTAGTGATCAAATAGATGAACCTTCTGTTCATCTAGTACTCATTATTTTTCTTTTTGTTCATACCAGGTTCGTCGTCATCTTCATCGACTGTCATTGTTGTAGTTGGTAGAATATCTTCATCAAGTGAAATTTTTCTTGGATGTGAAGTACTATCACATTCATCATCATCATTATTCTGATAAGTTGAATGATTTCCATTTTCATAAACTAAAAAATGAATATGATAAAATTATTTTTTTGTGAGAAAAAAAAGATATGCTTACTATGATCTATTTCCATCGTACCGATCATCGGCAATTGCATTTGAATTAAACAAACATAGACATATACAATGTATCTTTCTGTTTTTTTACTTTGTTCAATCTAGAAAAATAAAAATAAAACATCAGGAGGTCTTATTGTTATTATCCACCTGTTTTCAATGTAATTTGATCTTTTTTATTTTTACACATATATAATATATATATATATATATATATATTTCACATAGAAATGTGAAAAAATGTTTTTTCGATTTATCAAAATCAACATAGACAGTGACATGCGGTGTTCAAAAACATGATGATATTAGTGTGAACAGCATCGAAGAGAAAAAAGAAGAGCATAGCACATACGACTAAATCAAATTTGCTACTTTAGTCGAGGAAGAGCAACAGCAGTAATAGTAGTAGTACTCTCTTGCCTAATCGATCTACGGGCATGATGTGTTGTGCGCTAGATAGAGAGAGAGGGAGAGAGACAGAGAAAGGGGGGAGAGAAACAGAAAGATGCGAATGCAAACGCGCGCTCGCGCGTAGAAGACGTATTATTTTTACAAACTAACGTCATTACACGACCACCGACCGAACACTGATTTACATAAACAGACGACTGACTCTTCTTCCGTCCAACTGAGATAGAAAAGAAGCAAATGCAACATGTACTAATAGACATATTTGGATATATTTCGGATTGGTTCCTCACCTGTTTCATAGAGAGCAAGAACAAGAAAAAAAAGGTGATTCGTTCATGTGACATTTTTAATCTTACCTTAAGAGCAAATGAAAAAAAATCTACCTCGTTCCTTCTCCAATGATAAGCATCGAACGTTACCGGACATATAAATGGAAAAAAATGAATTCTTTTTCTCTCGATTCTTCCTTCTTCTTTTTTTTTTCTTTGTATATGTGTGTGTGT